TCGCGTCAGCGGTACTGGATCTGAAAAAGATGACGCGGACAGCTGTTCGCATGCGTTGCGACGTTAGCGACCAAGTGCGCTACGGAAAGGCGATCGGAATGGGATGCTTTCTGCTGCCGCGCAAATTTCGGCGATGATCATGGATTGGTTTTTTTGCATTCCCGCAGTTCTTTACACGTTCGCCCTAATTTCGAAAAGGACCTCGACCTGCGTGGACAAATCTGCTTTCCACGTCCTCCTGATCAGCATCCTGTGGGTCTGCCACAAAGCAGAATCTGCTTGTAAGAACTCTATGGACATTCAATAAAACCGATAAGGATATGAGCTAGATCTTCTAATGCTACAGAACCTTACAAAATACATATCTCCTACTGATTGACTAGAACTCTCATATTTACTGATTTCCCTACAAATAGTGCCTTGATTCATATTTTTTTCATAATTATGTTCAACGGGCAACAATATTGGCGTGTTAAGAAAAACGTTTCGCAATTGGGTGCACCACGTGGCTTATGACGTACTTTAGGACACACTAGGCATCTAGCCCATTCTCCTCACAGCTTGGCGTCAGCCTCCGATAGTGCTGAAATTTCAAGCTAACACGGATCACATAACTTCAGCACTCAGTCTGATGCTGAGCACAATGTATTCCAACTATAGACTAATAAGTTGAAGTGTCTAAGATTCCCACAACAACACTAGTCACTCCCAACGAGCGCCAATGATTTTAACATACGGTAGTACGCATTGGCTGGTGTGTTGGTGCTTCCATAACGCATTCAGGTTCAAATAATCATAAGTGAAGACATAAGTGAATAAATATTGAAGTTGGGCAATCAAAATCGAACACCAACAGCGATTTAATACAGGCACTAGCAGAGTGCCAGAGAACAATAAATAAATCAATCATGTACGGTATGTGTATACATCTAGGGTATCTGAAGGCACTGCTTCAATGCAAGCCTCTAAACCAAATTGTATGCGTTTCCTCAGGGAACGCTCTCTACAAGCCAAGGAGCTCTTTCACTGTACATGCTGGCTCTTTCATGCCAGATCCAAGCGAAGGTCGCAAACTCACGCCAAGCGGGAGGCGAGACCCGAGTGGTACATCCTGTCGTGGTACGACTCGCTTTCGCGCATCCTCTGGCGCAGCAAGCGGGCTTTCTCCGGAGTGAACTTGCTTGCGAGCGAAGCGCCGATCTGAACAGGGACCTCGTCGGGAGAGCTCGGTCCATTATCCGCGAATGACGCGGACGATGTCACAGAGGAGGAGTGACGCGTCAAGAACGACTCGGAAGATAATCTCCCGAAGTTTTCCTCTGCACAACTCAAGGGCGAGGCGCTCATTGACGCACGATCGCCGTGTTTGGAAGATTCGCGTCGTGACCCAATAGAGTTTGACCCCGAGGGAGGCGCGTGGAAGGAGAGGGAGCTGGCTTGTCGCGGTGAGGAGGGGGTAGCCATGACTGTCGTGGTGAGTCGGGGTGTCGCCGTGCATCTGCGATTAGCAGCGGGATTGATGGCCGCGATGGGTATGGCATGCTGGTGAGTTGCATGGCTTTGAAGGAAGGAGGAGGTGAAGGTGTTCTGCATGGAGATCGCCATTGAAATCGCTGGCAATTTGAGTAACTAGGCGCAAAGACAGTTACTTTCGCGGCGCAATGAAAGCCTGGGACCTTGCGCGAAAGTGCTTGGTGGAAGTGGTAAACGAGAGTAAGATTGAAGTCGCGGTTGTTGGAGCTCCGTGAGTGGAATTCGAAAAGGTTATATGCAAGAGGGGTTAGAAGTACTTGATGATCGAAAAACTGGAGGGTTTTAGTGCTTTATATATTCAGTTGGCGAATCAGGTCAGTAACAGTCGACCGTGCTTGACGGAGAGGGAGACTAACTAAACGCGTTGCGCGATCAGTCTTCGAGCACGCCTTCACCTACCGCACCTTCCAATCTCGCGCCGTTCATTGACTCGCAGCATACCCTCCGACCTTTACACGCAATCCCTCCCTAATTTTGGGGCGCCTACTTTCACGTGGCTCTCCGAATGTGGTGTGGTGTGGTGTGGTCCCGTCCCGAATATGCGAAGAGTGTTGCTGCTTGTGGGTGTTCGCGGCAATCACGATTCACGGTTCCCGCATTTTGGGCGGAGGGGGAGGGATCGCACATTCTGTCAATTTCTCGTCTGCGTGTCAATAATGCTGGCGTGGATCGGACGGAAGAAATTTGTTGGTGCGATGCCGAAGTGGAATTTTGAGTGGAGGGAGGTGCCCAGCCATTTCCTCCCGCCGACAGAAGTTGTTTCGTGGAGCTTGAGCTCCTGCTTCACGGGCAGGCGTGGCTTGAGTCAGCAGGGAGATGCGGATGGAAATATTGCCTGCCACACAACCGACTGCGACGGGCAGGACTGCTTCTGCCCGCGTCCGCTCAACTTCAAAACGTGGAATTCGCCGGAAGAAAAGGATGGAAGAAATGTCGGAGCGCAACGCGCTTCGATGCATGCGGTGCTTCGTCTCTACCCACCGAGATTGCTGAAGATATATATTGAAATCCGTTGTACACTCCAAATGGGGATGCTTACAGAAAATGTAGCTTGTATCCACATTCTATACTGAAAATGTCAAATGTTCAATTCAATGCGATCACTGAAAAAGATAGCGGTTTCTATGTTTCCCTAACTACACGCAATCTATATTATCCTATATGGGATATACCTAATCAGATGCCTTTCTATCTTCTCACTTAGCACTGGGAATTTGGGTACTGAAGAAATGGCATGAGTTATGAAAGAGGGCAAAACATTTGTACCACAACCACGGGTGGCGAGAGCATGATGAGTAGTAGCAGGGCGAATCTCGCACGTGCAACTGGGGTGTGGTGGCAGGATGTTCCAGTTGTTACACAGTTCAGTGATAGTGCAGACAGGGGCAATCTTCAGCGTGGTATCATCCATACACGCACCAATCCACCAGAAAGCGAATTGGGGCTGCTATGTCGCGTTACATTCTTATGATAATATTGGAATGGAACGGACCTGCCATCAGCCGTGGATTCATGTTGTGTACCAGTACTTCTCGGAGTGGACACATGTGAACTCAGCTGGGCAATCGATATTCATACATTTTCAAACTTCAGAGTTGCACACGTTTTATAGACAAAAAGACTACATTTAATAAATCAAATACAGCATACATTACCAGTGTACTGGTCACGCAGCAGTTGATCTAGACAACTCGACCTAGGCCTAAGGACGCAGTGAATTTAAGCGAGTCTTGACGCAAGACCGGAGTGGTACATCCTGTCGTGGTGGGCCTCGCTCTCCTTCAACCGCAAACGCAGCAGCCTGGCTTTCTCAGGGGTGAACTTGGGAGTAGCCGAGTCATTCACCCGGATAGATACCCCAGCCTCGTCAAGTGGTCCGACGGCAGCGAGGGACGCCGATTGTGTGGTAGGAGATCGCTTTGACGAATGAAGACCAGGGGCAGGGGTGTGGGCAGTTGCTGAAGAGAACTCTGATCGTAACGACTCGCCCGTCCAGGGGGCACTATCAGAAGACATTAGCTCCGCGCGAATGAGAGACTGAGTCGCGGAGGAGTTGGGTCTTTGCACTGGAGACGCCACCGATGATACGGATCGCCCGACGAAGGACGAAGTCAAAGCTGATGAAAGAGCCTTGGCAGGCGACATGGCGAGGGCCATTGTGGTGTGTAAAATGTAAACTGAGGGAGCTGATCAGATATGCGAAAGGAACACCGCCTGCTAGTGATCACGGAAAGAACGGGATCAGCTGTAGGGGTCGATAATGGAAGGAATCAGTGGAAGTTGCTGGTTCTCTGATTGTCGAATATGCGTAGGGTACTTCTACATTTGATTGTGAACCAATGACCTACGGAGAACCCAGGGACAACAGCGGGAAGCTGTGCACGATGCCGCTGGCGGATCATCTTTTCCTGAAATGGAGGAATCATCTGGACACCTCCTGCCAGGCTGGTCAGAAGGTGATGGAATCGCGGATGGGAGTTCTCTACAGATATTGTATAGAGTAACTTACACCAGAGGTCTCATAAATACAAGTAAGCGTGTTCTATATCTCTATTTCCATGAGTCCAATAGATTATTCCAATTTCAGGCACTCAGACCCAAAAGTAATCCAGGGGACACCACCCGCGTCGAGGAACTTTGCCCTCAAGAAACGTTTACGTTGTCAACATTTGTAGATGTTTCCAGTGTACCTTGTTCGTGCTACCCACCGCAAAGGAAATTGCGGATTCAGCAGACTGACTCGAGTGATTTACGGGCTTTCGTGGAGAGAGTCAGGAAAACGTGCCCGCTCCCTGACTGACCAGTGGAATTACGGCCACGTCACGTCAGCGTGGTTGCTTGTGGCTAAGGAGGATCTTCTCGGTGGCACTTTTCTGGCACGTGGTGCCGATGAGGAAGGAAGTTGCAGCAGCAGTCTCCTCGGTGACAGCTGACGTTGGCTGCTGTCACCCCTCAAAACCTTCACTGCCAGACTGTGTGGGCATGGTTCATCACAACCTCTGGAAGTGGCTTACTCCAAGCACGAGAGGGACTGTAACGGATCTAAACTGTCCACGTATGCTAGGACCAGAAGAACCACGTCATTAGGTTGGAGGTTTGGTTTCACGCCACGTGGTGATCCAACATATTATGGTCAGATCAGATTCTATTCGGTGCGATGTTTGAAATGCGGAGGGCAAATTGCGAAATGCAATGGAGAAGGGCGAAAAGCAGAATGCGAAAAGCAGAGCGGGATAGGCATAATGCGAACAGCATTGTGCGAAATGCAGAATGCTAACAGCCAAGAGCGAAAGCGAAAGCGACTGAGAAATTTCCTGCAGTTGCTCCAAGATGTCGCAGTTCCTTTTGATTCCTGAAGCCATAACTTGGAATTTCAGCTTTTTTTCGACTCTTGTACCACCAAACCCATACCTTTTGGGAACCTAAGTTTCTCGTAGTCGCGTCAACCTAACTTCCAGATCCTCGTCATGGCAGCCACTTTGTCTGCTCTGCCTACAGCCACTGTCGCCTCCTTGGCTTCCTGCCAGGAGACCCGCACGAATGCGTCTGTGAGAGCTAGTGTCTGCTTCGGTAGCAGGCTGAGCTTTGCTGCTGAGAAACGACTGACTGGGCGCAGCCAGGAGCTTAGACAGGCAGTGGCCAAGGTAAATTTGGCCCGCTGTCGCTAAGATTCACCCACTACTTTCTCATTCTTAAAACTTCTATGAATGGGTTAGGAGAACAGCGCAGTGTGAGCATTCTTCAGCTCTGAAGCACACCTATATCTGTGAACTCGATTCGTTTTTCTCAGGCGAGCTCCAAGCGCATCGTCCGCAAGGCTGCAGCTACCTCTGCAATGGCGGAGGTATGTGCACAGGCCTTGTTCAATCAGTGCGTCAGTAAGATCAAATAAGTAAGCAATATGCAGGTTACATGCAAAAAAAAATCAAGAGCTCTTTAACGAATGTCATTACCTTGCCCAGCTTCTATAAACACACAAATGAGATTCATATAATTGCTTTTATTGACAATCAATCGCTCATGGCTCAGCGATCTGCGTGACATTCCCTCATGCTTTCCCCACCATAGGCTGTGGAGCGGTCCTACATTATGATCAAGCCCGACGGCGTGCAGCGAGGCTTGGTGAGTCAAAGCTCGCCTTTATCATGTTTCCAGGAACGCAATTGATCACTGACGCTCACATTTGTGCGAATAGCAAGTTCCTGCATTACATTATTTGATTCCACTTCTTGTCTCGGTGCCCGTCATGGTGATTGCAGGTGGGTGAGATCATCACTCGGTTCGAGCGGAAGGGTTTTGTCCTCCGTGGACTGAAGCTGTTCCAATGCCCTGAAGAGCTTGCTAAGGTGAGAGTTTGTATGATGGCTAGGGGGTGATGCGGTACAATGTGCTATCGACACAGTTTCGAGTTGTCAGCATGGAAAGGAGAGAGAGTGGCGAGCAATCTAGAACTGGCACGTCAATCGAATCACCACAACTTGGCTCCTCTGTAATCACTCAATACTCTCGCCACCTAAAAGTCCTCCCCCCCCTCACCCCTCCCCTCCCCCTTGTCGCAACCATGAGCAGGAGCACTACAAGGAGCTATCTGACAAGCCCTTCTATGGCAAGCTGGTTGAGTACATCATCTCAGGCCCAGTTGTCGCCATGGTAAGATATAAACCAATGTGTAACTTCACATTTCCTGCCCGCATTCTGCATTCTGGCAATCGTTCCTGGATCATCTACTTCGAACTTCGTACCACTCCGCTTTCCTGTTTCTGGCAGGTATGGGAAGGCAAGGGAGTGGTTGCTTCAGCCCGCAAGCTGATTGGCGCCACGAACCCCTTGGCTGCGGAGCCGGGCACCATCCGTGGTGATTTTGCAGTGGAAGTTGGCAGGTATGGTTACTCTAGAATCAGGGCATGCATGCATGGAATGCTCACGCAGTCTCTTGCTCTGATAGAACTAACTGTTCAGGCCATAGACATACGAGATAACCAACACATTCTCCGTGCCTGTTCTGTATATCCAGGAATGTTGTCCACGGCAGTGACAGCATCGAGAATGGCGAGCGCGAAATCGGTGAGTTCTCTCATCTACTTTTGCCAATTTGCACCCTCCATCTCTCTTCCCTCCCGAATCTCACCTTTGTTTGTCCAATTACTCTCCACATTCCCCTGGCTTTGGTGACATTTCTGTGCCTATTTCTCTTTCCAGGTCAAGCTCAATGCGAGTATGTTTTGACCACTTATACTTTATGCCTGCATCACTCCCATGCACCCCATCGCATTCCTCCCTCTCCCCTGGATGCATTTTATACCCCTCTGAGCAGGGCTCTGGTTCAAGGAGGGCGAGGTGTGCGACTGGGAGCCTGTTTCAACCCCGTGGTTGAGGGAGTGATTTGTTCCAGGCCTTTGAAACTGATCAAGTTGCACTGTCAATAATGATCATGCAATGCAAGTTCATGAACAAAAAGTGCATGTGCGTGAGATTCCAACCATCAATTCAGGATGTAGACACAAGAGAGGGCAAAATTGGTAAGGATTGTCTGCACCTAGCTGGGTCCCTTGATATATCATAGCTAGGTTTCATTGTCTGCGCAATAATAGAAACAACAACCTCTGCAGCCTCTATTCACTCTCACTAGTAACATCCTAGTTGCACTGATCTAACTTAATCATCTGGAAAATTGTAGACAAGGCTCCGATATGCTCTTCTTGTTTCACAATAGGTCCCCTAGATTTGGCTGATTATGGAGGATTCTAACTTTTTCTGCTCCATGTCATTCTAGAACTTGTTACATCTGAACAGTTGTTAATTGGCGCACATCTTGAAAAGCAAATGCTTTGTCTCATGGCTTCGTATTAGTGCACCGAAGACAACACTCTATGCAAATTGGTGAAGCTGATAGCTATCCAGCTGTATTTCAAGCTTGCTTCACGCTTTACTCTCGCAGCCAAGGGAGAAGTGTAGGGTCCCACTTGATAAGCTCTGCCTCCTTGAACCACAAGCCTGCCAGCGTGAGAGAGCGCATGGAAACAAGTTGGACTGTGAGGTTCAGGCAAAAGGGCTGAAAGTCTGGTTCAGCAAGAGCACGAATTCATTTACTGCGATATGGGAACATCTGCAGGTCATGTCGAGAATGTTCAGAAGCCTTTGCAGGAATCATGTACTTACCAATCTCACGCTCGCCATTCTCCACGCTGTCACTCCCGTGCACGACGTTCCTGTTAGGCAAGAGCAGAATATATTGAATACAAGAGACGTATAAAAAAACTTGAGAACAAGGTGCTGATATAATGTGATCGACCAAAAGAACGCTGGCAGATCCAATCGCATGCAGCAAATGATGATAAGATGACGAGGACTAGAAATCTTACCTGCCAACCTCGACAGCAAGGTCACCACGGATGGTGCCGGGCTCGGAAGCAAGGGGGTTGGTGGCGCCAATCAGCTTGCGAGCTGAAGCCACCACACCCTTGCCCTCCCAGGCCTGCAAGACGACAGCGTGATGTTCAAATTAGTTAATGATGCGATTTTTATATGTGCTCATGCGGAAGTTGCAGCCTCGCGTGAGTGTGGTGCGATATGTCCATGCTTAGAATGTGATTCTGTCCTGTAACCGTATATATGGAACTGCACACACCACGCCTGAAACCTGACCATTCAGGTATCAAATTCCCAGTTCTCTAAACCCGCAAGATACTGTAGCACAACCGAGAGTTGAACATACCATGGCGACAACAGGGCCGGAGATGATGTAGTCAACGAGACCCTTGTAGAAGGGCTTGTCGGCAAGGTCCTTGTAGTGCTCCTCGGCCAGCTCCTTGGGGCACTGGAACAGCTTCAGGCCTCGCAGAACGAAACCCTTGCGCTCGAACCGGCCGATGATCTCCCCGACCTGCGCGCACGATAAGTGACGAAATCGCAAGGGACTGTATGAGCAGAGGTTCCTATAGGGAAGGTCGGGATTTGAAGGAGGTTGGGGTGTCCAATGTGAGAGATCAAGATGACAGCAACTCTCGAAGGGGCAGCAATTAACAGGTCGAATCGGTCCCTTGAGCTTCTCATTGAGCCAGTTCTTACAGCATATAACAATGGCTTGCAAGAAGTTTGATCAAAACCACGTCGGGTTCTTCAGAACTTTCAGAGGTACGGAGTGCGACTTACAAGGCCGCGTTGAACGCCGTCGGGCTTGATCATGACGTAGGATCGTTCCTGAAACCGAGAAAAAGGGATCGCGTTAGATAAGATCATTGCTTCCACAAAGAGACGGAACTGGAGCCCCGAGAAGCAGAATCTCTGTCAACTGGAGTAAGACAGACAAAGGTAGAACTAGACACGGAAAAATGTGGATGTGACCATCACTGACCGTCATTGTGTCTGTTTTTGATTGCTGCTGAAGCTGAGGGGTCTGGCACGTTTGGAGATCGGCGGAAGAAGCAGCAGCTTCAGATTGACTAAGCTCGAAAATGAATTTCTCAGAAACGGTTTTCAGAGAAGCTTTTGAATCTGAAGCAGATGTGGTTTTCTGAAACAGGAGCACTAAGGCACCCAGCAAGATCCGATAACAAACCGTATCCCACCGTAGTGAAAATCGCAGCATTGCAGAGAATCGCTTTTGACCACGGAGCGGGAGACGATTTTCTGCTGGTATCAAACGGAAGGGGGGTCAAATGTGTGCGTTCCACCTTTTGTGGAACGCCAGGCGTGGGGAAAACGATCTGCTGTCAGCACAAGCTTCCGGCGTGCCACCTCGGACGATCCGCTCCGATGGCGCACAACACAAACCCTGAACCTCCGAACTCGTTTGTATAGCACAGTAAATTTAGCAACAAAATCTAGACACGTGTACCGGCACCTAAAACAGCAGCAAACTCTACTACTTCTCAATACTCATGTACATTCTCCCACCCCCATATTCCTTGATAAGTTGGATTTATGCATGTCCTTGTGAGCCTATGCACCTGATTTATTAGTAAACATGCCTTGTGAACCTATCCAACCCTTCCTTTTGGGTGACGCTTCATCCCCTGCTCGAGCCTACTAAAACAAGCTCCTTCTAACCTCGGAAGCACCATGCATAGAACGGCGTGATGGTGCGTGCTGGTGCTGCTCTGGATCAAGCTTCTGTTCATCCTTCACCCGCGCCTTCACGTGTGCGGCCATCACCACCTTGGACAATCTGTGGGCAAGGCAAGACGAACCATGACACCCAAATGCAACAACATCAGTTATCCGAGCCAAGCATTTTTACTACGTGCGTGTGGAAAGGAAGTTACAGTAGCTAAAACAGCATCGTGATTACCTGCCACAGCAACTACGAAGGCAGAGAGCTGATTGAATTTCATTCATAAACAAATGCACTTACCGATACAGTTTCTCCCCTCGAAGGGACATCTTAGCGCACAACCAATCTGGCGCTATCTCCTCTAGAATCTTCAACTGTTCCTCAATCTCCTCTGAAACATGGGGGCCAGAAATAACATGAAACACTGGGATTAGAGGCATAACCACCCAACACTGTCAATGGCGAAAAAAAAACTTGCAACAAATGTGACGAAAGAACAGAGAGCTGACTCAGCATTTTCACGGTCACATGAGGTATTACGCATGGTGGTATCAATTCTTGTACCCCACAAGATCATACCTTGGTTGGTCTGCTTGCTGTGATTGGCCACCAGCCGGACCACAAGGTCCCTATGTGGCAGCACTGCAGCGCGACAGCTGGCAAAGAGAGCGACTACCATGTCGGTTAGGAGAGGCAGCTCCGCCAGCAGCAGCCGCCGCCGCTGCGCCTGCCGCGCCTCGTCCGTAGCCTCGGCACGCTGCTGCTCCTCACGCTTTCGAACCTGGAAGTTGGGTTCGGAAGGATGAGGGAAGGATGAGAAGAGGGAGGGAGGAAGGGAGCGTTGGAGGCTAGAGGCAGAAGAAGTCACACTCACAGCACACTACCGTAAAGTGAGAAATAGAAATGGACGGTTGACACACCGAGTGTACGAGCCCTTGCGGCAGGCGAGACAGGATCTCTGAGTCACTTCCCCCACCCTCCCCATCGCTGTCTCCTCCACCCCTCCCAACCGCTCCAACTTGTTCTCCACCTTCCCCCACTCCCTGCTGCTGCAGCGGCTCCAGCTCCCCTACCACATCACCACCCCACACCTCCTTCTCTCCCTCCTCAACTCCTTTTCTGGCTATTTCAGCAACACCAGCAACACCAGCAGCACCAGCAGCACCTGAAGCCCCACCACTAACCCTAGCAACCTCCGCCGTTCCTCCAAACAGCAGCTGCCGTGCTGCCCTAGCCTGCTCGGACCCATCTTCAGCTGCTCCTGCCAAACCTCCCACGTTGGTCCGGCGAGCCAAGCGATCCAACGACGGAGTGAGGTCCACCCTCACACGAGCGCCCAAGTCTGGGTTCGGATTCCTGCCGACCCTATCTGCCGAAGCAGGCCGATGGCGATGGGTTGGGGAAATTGGCCGGGACTGCAAAACAGGCCTGGCAAAGGGTGCAGCTGTTGGCGCCAAGCCTAGACCCGCTTCGGCAAAGGTAGGGTTGGTGGATGCGTCAGGAAATAGACTCCTGCGACTGACAGGGTGAGTAGAGCGAGTGTGACTAGAGTGAGTGGCATGAGCATTAACAGATGCACGAGACTCTAAAGCTGATGCTGGGGAGGGAGAGAGTGGGTCTGGCAGAGTCTCCTCCGGTATAGTCACATCTGCTGCAGTCACATCCTTGTCCGTTCCCACTGCCCCCATGGCACGAGCCAGTCTCCCCAGCCTTGCCCGGAACTCTCTTTTCCGCCACAGCATTTCGCCCTCCTCGCTCCTCACCCTCGCTCCTCGCCCTCCTCGCCCTCCTCGCTCCTCGCCCTCCTCGCTCCTCACCCTCCCTCCTACCATGCCTGTGCCTATTGCCATGCCTCCTGCCATGCCTCCTGCCATCCCTGCTGCCATGCCTGTCCCTCCTGCAATGCCTGATGCCAATTCACCTCCTGCTATCCCTCCAACGCCCCCTGAACCATTATCCGCAGCTGCAGACAAATCACTTTCACCATCGTCCCCCTTCCCCTCCCCTTCACTCTCCAATATTATCTTCAGATCCCACACGCTACGTCCAAACCTTGCCGCCCTGCCCGCAGCCCCTGAGAACTTCACAGGAGAGGAGTTTTTTTCCGGCAGAAGAACGGATTCCACTCTGAGCAGCGGAACGCCAAGCACCGCCTGGCGGGCAGATGCCCTGCTGAGAGCATCTGATTTACTAAGTGCTGTTTTGCTAAGTGCAAGAGGACTCAGTGAAATCTTTTTTTCATCTCCATCTCCTCCCCTGTTTCCCCCCCCACTCCCACCAACTCCACCTCCTCGCCCTTCCTTGCCTTCCTTTCCTCCGTCCTCCTTCTCCTTTACCCCTTCTCCCTTCACTCCAGCCCCCCCATCTCCCCCTCCTCCCCCGGCCCCTCCCCCGCCACCCCCCACGAACAGCATCTGCGCCAGGTGCCGCTGAGTGAAGCGCCTCTTAGTCACGTCCTGGACCGCATCTTTAATCGCCTGGAAGGAGCACAGAAGCTTCCTCGCGCGCAGCAGGCGGCAGCTCAGCTCCAGCGCGTCGAACAGCTGCGCGATTTCCAGGAACCTTCGCAGGTGTAGAAAGAGGTGGGAGAGACGTTTGTGGGAAATGTCAGGGGAGAGAGGAGGGGCGCAAAGACGGGGCCAGGGAGGGGAAGGGGAATGGGAAGCGGAGAAGGGGACGGGAGAGGAAAGGTGACGGTGAATCCTAAGGCAGGAGGAGAAGGGCTGAGACGAGCGGAGACTGGAAGAAAGGTTTGGAAAAAGTGAGATCAAACAGGCTGATACAGGTCAACACAGAGGGGTGCAGAGGGGTGCAGGGTGACAGGGGGGTAGCGAGAGATACGGGAGGATACTGGACGGTTCAGGCCGTTTCAAGACGGTTCAGGACGGTAAGTAGCGAGGGACTCACTGTGGTGGAAGATCGTCAGCCTCCGCCTTTGCCGCCGCTGCTGCTGCTGCCAAGCCTGTTGCTGATCTCGCGCTCCTCGCTCCTCCTCCTCCTGCTTCTGCACCTATATCTCCTCTCACTGCACTTTTAATAGCTGCTCCTTTCGAAGGTGACTGTATCGGGGACACACCAGCCCGTCCGCTTCTCACTCCCCCTGCAGCTGCTGCTGCGGCCGTTATCCGCCCCTCCATATCCGGCGCCATGCTTCGTACCCCTTGCTGACGTGGCATCTGAACGCCCACCATGGCTGCCAGCACCTCGCCACGTGTCTTGGGCCCACTGGATCCGCTTCCGCGTCCCCCGGGCCCAGTGCTCCCTCTATGGATGCGGTTCCACCGAAACAGGTCATCCCCGTCCGCGTTATTAGACGACGAGAAACGAGTCACGGCACTGTCGGCTACAGCGGCAGCGGCAACAGCAGCACTGACAGCAGGAATAACGGCAGCGGTGACTCTGGAAATCCCTGGGTCTCCTGAGACCTTGAGCTTATCTTTCCTCGTTCTAACCTCCTTCTCTCGACCCTTCTCTTCCCCATCTCCCTTGCTTTCTCCTCTCACATCCTCCTCGCCACCCTCCTCTCTCTGCTTCCTCCCCTCACCTTCTTCCGCATACACTATCTCTAGCTCCAATTCATCCTCCTCCACCTCCTCCTCCACCTCTCTCTCATCCTCCTCTACCGCCTTATCGCTCTTGCCCTCTCCCGCTTTTTCCTCTTGCTCACTTTCTCGTTCAGCCTCACCATCAGCTTTGAGCGTCGTTCGGCTACCCTCCCGCCCTTCCGCTCGCTCGTCCCCAAACGCCAGTCGCCGGTAAACCGCCAATCCCGCCATTGCGCCAACAACTTCCCCCGATGCGTTCTTCCCCGCGACTCCCTCGGTACCCTTCCCCTCCGTCCCCACTTCGCTCCCGCCGTTCCCCCTTCCAGCCCCGTCAAACTCCCCGCCCGGAAACAGCACACGGCGGCCGGAAAACAGACCCGTGCCAGTCTGTTCCGCGGAAAAGAAACCTTCCCCGCGCGAAGCTCCAGGCGCGTTTCTAACCGAAGCGCCGGGGGCGCTTTTGATCAGCGCGTCGGTCGCGTTGCGAGTCGGCGTGTCGGACTCGAAAGGCCGCCGCTCGGGGCTGGCTCCGGGGGAAGCGACGACGTCCACGTGCGCGGGGTTGAGGATGCGGCGGCGCTTACGCGGAACCCCTGCGGATCGCCCGCCATGGCGCGCCGCGCCAGAAGGGAGCTTCCGAATCGGCGGAGTGCCTAGCGGGATATAAGAGTCGTCTTCCATTATAAAAAAAAGTACACTCGAAATGCGTCCTAAAGTCTCTAATTCCTGTCACTGTGAGGCCACTAGTAGAATATAATTTCTCCGAGAGATATTCTTCCCAGATTGGGATCAGCTTGAGAGGACTAGAGACGTAGGCGAAAAATCGATACTGTGATATTGGACGTCATGGTTACATTAATCGCAGAAGCGGTAATTACCGTTACGACTGAAAGACTCGCGGACGAAACGGTGACGGAGGTTACACAAAAGGGATGCGAGGAAATAAGGCTAGCTCGGAGCTAGCACGCGTGGGAAGAGCAGCGACTCTTGAAGGACGACCATGGATTTCAAGCGCTGGCGATGAAATGATTTTTCCTGAAATGAGGCTTCGCGCAGTTCTGTGTTAGGTGTCTCCACTAAGAGTATCCTTGAGATTGTCTAGTGAGTGAGTTGCAGCTGAATCGACGATTGAAATACCCCCACCTCAGCTTGCATGCGGCATGCGAAGGTCAGCTCAGCAGCAGCTCCCGCCATAAACAACTACCTCTCCATCCATTCCCAGGGCATGATGGCTCTTATTGATACGAATGTGTAGTATGTCTCACTCAACAGCACACCTTCAATTTCGCATGTCATGGCCCGAACCGCGTGGTTGTTTCGGGGGTTGTCGGAGCTTGACGGCTCACGAAAACCGGCCGAAAATCGTTTGGCGCAAGCAGATCGGATTGGCCACGACCATCGTGTACGAGGTTCGCAACACTCTGACGCCTTCCCGTTAGCGTTGTTCCCGCCATTTGCGTAACGGCAGACGTTGACAATTTTCGTGCTATGTACACCACACATGTAAAATTCGCCAACACCCCTTCACCGTTCTCTTTACATCACCATGAGTGATATTCATATTTGCCAAGGAAATAGCAGTGGTTTCTGCTGCCTACCAAGCTTGCATCCAAGTGCCCAAATAATGAAAGGACCCTCACACTGACAGTGTCCAAATATACAGCATGTACCAAACCAACCAACAGCTGGAACTGACTATGCCATTACTCCCACCCTGTGCTTGTTGTATCGTCTTCCAATGGGCCCTGCTGGTGAAGGGCCTTTGAACCCAGTCACCACTTGGTCATCCACGCACCAGTGAAAAGGCACCGACACAATGCGCCTCTCCTGGCAGAAAGAACAGAAGTGGCAGAGCTTTCGCATCCCAAATCTCAAGTCCATTGCCATGGCATTGTGGAACATGTTGCCCAAAGCAACACTGCTTAAATCAGGTCCAAACAGTGTAAAGCCACCAGCAGGAATCGCATGTGAATGCTGAAATGAGTGTGCTTGGACCACAGCAGAGGCTGCAGCTGCTGCAGAGGACAGAGTACTTGCTGTGAACTTGTCAGCTGTTGGGACCACTCTGGCAACGGGATGTCCAGCCCTTGAGTCCGCTAGACCATCCATTGTTCGTCCACCACCGGAAGAAGACCGCATGTTACTGTCAAGTGGGTTGTTGAGAATCGTAACAGGTAAGCTTGGAAAACCTGCATGAGAATTAGGTGCTGTGACAGATGGATGCGGCTTCCCTTGAACAGAAACACCTCTTGCACCCATGTCGCCAGCAGCAGCGCTTCCACTATTAACGGCTTCTTCTTGCACTGCTGCAGGCTTCGATGCCTCTTGACCCTTCAAAATCTTCAACGCAGATCCAGACTTCCACACTGAAACTGGTGGTTGAGATGGTTCAACAGCTGCGTGTCTCGTCTCATTCGTTGAGGAACTCTTGTCAAAAGGAGGTAACTGCTTCTGATGCTCCCCAGAACGAGAGTCACTTGCCTCATCGTCAGACGAGCTAGAGTCAAGTTTATCCTTGAATAGAGAGACATCATCCACGCTCTTGGGTGAAGACGGCGTGCTGGAAGCTGCAACAGACCCCTCCGCTTCGATATATTCTGGTTCTGAAACCTTCTTCTTCGCTGCTCTTCGTTCCTTCTTCGATTTCTTCAAGGACACCAGAAAATGGCAATCCCTCTCGCGACTTGGATTATGCTGGTTCAGGATAATGCTGAAGTTCGTATGCTCGTTGATAGGAAGCTTCTGCTTCTTCTCCGTGTTGCCAGAAGACTTTCTACAGACTAGCACCGTTGATAGAGTAGCTGGCGGAAGACCGGCCTTTTGTCCAGCCATGGACTGGAATCGCTTGAAAGTCAAACAGGAATGAATTCCAACAACCCCCTTGTTCACGTCCTTCTCTCCATCGTGAAAGAAAATGGGGTACGGCGTGGCGAAGGCCTCCATGGTAACTGCACGTACAAAAATTACAGAAGGTTAAAAGAGCTACGAGACGACCGAAATAACGAACAAAAGTAGCGGATCTATATCCCATGTCGAATGCGACAAGCGCTGGAAACGGATGAACGACATCAACACTCCTGTCTTGAGCACTGACCAGGTTAGGGCTTCTGAGGACCTGAGCTGAAGGAAGAATCCGGCAGTAGCAATTCCACAGAACGGACTTCTTATGTCTTCCTTCTAGCGATTCAAGCAGCAATAGAGATAGGAACATCATGAGGGGATTGGACAAGAAAGGGTTGACCAGATCCAATCAGGTGGGACGCCAGGGCTGGATGAACGGTCCATCAGGTAGAGCCCCGACGATCCCAAGGGCGTCGCAAAACCTAATTTCCGCCAATGGGCGATGACCTACGACCTTCTCTCTGACTCGTGGCGCGCTTAAGCGTGAGCCTTCGCGAAACACCGAAGTGCAATGATGACTCCGATTCGAATTAAGCTTCTTCAGGAAATCGTTATTAGTGCTTGATTGACATTCGGTTATTCGGTTGATTTTCTGCATTGAGCTGTTTTCAAGCCTATCCTTACCAGCTTCAGATTTTAATTCAGTCAGGAATCAGGACCCCTTCACAGCTCTCGTCGCAACAGTGTGTGTATCGTCACAACTGAGGGGATATCCACCTAGGTTTGATGCTTTCCTGATTGCACTATGGAATTCGTGAGCCTTCATAGGTACTCCATGTGAAGAGACCAACATCCACACGAAAGAAAATAATCACTCAGATTGACAGGGATGCCACTCAACTCAACGTGGCTGTGGCCTAGATACAGCCGCATTGCACCTATAGGAGAATTAAGCGCCGGAAGCAGGAACTACTTAGTTATTTGCCAGCATTCACCTGGTCGAGAAGACTTCGCAGGGAAGCTAATCTCACTGGCTTGGTGAGAAAGAAATCCATACCCACCTTCCTACACTTCTCCTCTTCCTCCTCCAATGCACTTGCAGTAATTGCAACAAGCAGCGGTCTGTACCGGAATGAATATTCTTGCTGCTGCAGTTGCACCTGCTGCTGCTGCAAGGGCTGCACTGCTTGATGCTGTTGCGACATGCTACTAGTCCTCGGCACCGCATCCGACCCATACCGACTCCTCCAAAGCCCGAGAATCCGTGCCGACGCCTCAAACCCATCCATCACCGGCATATGAAGATCCATAAACACCACATCCAACCCCTCTCCATCCTTCTCACACACCGCGACAGCCTCTGCGCCGTTCCGGGCCAGCACCAACTGCTCTGCTCCGAGCGACCGCAGCAGCCGCTGCAAAACACTGCGGTTGACTGCATTGTCATCCACCACAAGGCACTTGAGCCCCGTGCCTGTCTTGCCTGCACCCGCCGTGCCTGCCGGCCCTGCCTTATTGCCGCGTGCTACAGCTGCTACACCTGCTACGGCGGCTGCTGTTGGTGCTGTTGCCGCCGCTGCCACTGGCTGTAATACACTGCGATTCACTGCCTCGCTGCTGCCTACCACCACGCCAAGTCGCCCAGCACCCGCTGCTTGAGGTGTATTATGGGTTTCTGTTAACACAGCTGCTGCTCCCACTGCAACAGCTGCTCTTCCTTTGGTGGCTGCATTTGCTCCTTGGGAACCCCTGAGAGAGGACGCACCCGCTACAGCCGCAGCTGTAGCTGCAGTGGCCCCATCTGCTGCCAGGCTGGCAGGAGAAGAGACGAATGTTCTCTGACAGTTCTCACCCAAGCCAGGTTGATGTGGCATCACCGGCTGTGAAGGCTCCACAAGCGCGCCTGACCCCAAGTCTGACCCCAACCCTGACCCCAACCCTGACCCCAACCCTGACCCCAACCCTGACCCCAACCCTGACCCCAACCCTGACCCCAACCCTGGGCCTAATCCTGACCGGCCTAAACTTGAGCCTGAGCCAGAGCCTAACCCTGACCCCAACCCCAAGCTTCCCGAGCCTAAATCCGAACCTACAGCCGAGCTTAAACCCGAGCCTGGCCGACGCATGGGCAGCATCTCAACGGCAGCCTCACACCCCTCTGGTGTACGGTCCCCCTCAGAGGCATCAGCACTCACAGGTGCAGGATCATCCCCCTGGGCTTGCACTGCAGGGTCACGTGAGAGCGGCTCACTGGCGAAATCCCGCAGAGAACCGCCCAGGGAAGCACCCAGAGAAGCGCCCAAGGAAGCACCCTCAGGACCATCCATAGGAGCACATATAGACGTGCCCATAGGAGCGCCTAGAGGAATGTCGGACCGGAGCAGAGCAGCACTGATAGGGCTGGTGGTTCGGATCAACGCGGCACCCAAGGGATTCGATTCAGCAAAGCGCCCTTCCCCTCTCGGCCCAGCCCCACTGGAAAACCCCTGGTCTTGCTTCTGAGGCTCTTCGAAACGGCCCTTATTGGCACGCCTTGCCCCGCTGAAGAAACCCCTGTCGTGTTGCACCCTCCATTTCCTTCTCCTCGCCTCCTCTCTCCGTGCCAACACATCGCTACTCTCCCCCCTCCCCTCCCCTCTGTTCTTCCCTCTCTCCTCCTCCATCTCATCACTTCCCTCTTCTCCCCACTCCCCTCCCTGCTCCTCCCCCCACCGCCCCCCCTGCACCTCTCCCCACATTCCTCCACCCACCTCCTCCCCCTGACGCTCCTGTCTTATCCCCATCTCATCATCACCACCCTCCTCTCTTCGCTTCCGCTTCACACTCCCTGCAACTCCCTTCCTCGCGTCCTCTCCCTCTTCCCCTGCCCTACTGCTCTCCCCACGCTCACCCCCCTCTGCTACTAACCTACCAATCTCCCCCGTATCAGCCTCAAACGACTGGAGCCTCTCCCCACCCATCCTCACCACATCTAATCTCTCCTCAGCTATCCTTGCTCGCTTGCCCCTCCCTCGGCCTCTATCCCCGAACCCCCCTTCGAGAACCTCTCTCCCCGATCCTCCCTCTCCCTCCACCTCCCCTCTCTCCCCTCCCACAATCTCACCCTCCCTTCTCCTCCTCTTCTCCCTTCCACCCCTCGCCTCCCCTTTCCACACCTCAAAAGGAAGGGTAAACGCGAAACAAGACCCCTTATCCGGTTCACTCTCAATATGTATCCCCTCGCCGCCCAGAAGCCGCACAAGCGATTGCGCAATAGCCAATCCCAGCCCAAGGCCCTGATACTCCCGGGCGGCGGAGTCGTCCACTTGCACGAAGGGCTTGAAGATTTGATGGAGCATGTTGGGCGGCACTCCCACTCCTGTATCCACCACCTCGAAAGAAAGCCTTGTGATCTGATTTGATTCTTTGAACTCTGTCCCGGGTCCGTCTTTCTCTGCCTCTTCTCCCTCATTTGCTTCCCCCTCCCGCGCTTTCCCCTCCTTTTCCGCCCGCTCCTTCTCCTCCCTCTCCCTCTCTTCCCTCTCCCTCACTTCCCTCTCCCTCTCTTTTCTCTTCCTCTCTGCAGCAACCGGCAGCAACTCGCCTTCTGAAGCAGTCATCATAGTTTCACATGCCTCAACAGCCCCTCCCTCCCTCCTACTTGTTCCCTCTTCACTACTCCCCCACAGAACCCGAGTGTCCGCAGTTGAATGGCACTCCATATCCCCTTGCACCTGCCCTACCTGCTGCTTCTCCTGCTCTTGCTGCTCTCGCCCCGCTAGCCCCCCTTGCAACGCGTCCCCTGCCTTGCCCATAACCTGAGACACCCGCCGACCCACACCCCTCTGCTTCCCTCCCGCCCCCGCTCCCCCACCAGAACCAGCAGTACCAGCAGCACCAGCGGCACCAGCAGCAGCAGCAGCAGCGCCAGGAGGGGCCAGCACGCGAACGGTGAGCTGCACGGTGCCTTGGTGGGTGAACTTGAGGGCGTTGGAGAGCAGGTGCAGCAGCAGCTGGCGCAGCATGGATGGGTCCCCCAGCACTGCGTGGGGCACTGCCCTGTCCATGCTGATCCCGAACTGGGAGGGGAAAAGGGGGGGATGGCGAAGGGATGGATGAGGAAAGCGAGGACAGGGACATGCAAGGAGCAGCTGGCGCAGCATGGATGGGTCCCCCAGGACTGCGTGCGGCACCGCCCTGTCCATGCTGATCCCGAACTGGGATGGGGGAGGATGTACGGGGGAAGAGGGAGGAAGCGAGAGGGGGGTGCACGGGAGAAGAGGCATGGGGCGGATGGCAACATAGAGCATGGATGGATCCCCCAGCACTGCGTGGGGTACTGCCCTGTCCATGCTTATCCCGAACTGGAGAGGGGAGGTGGGAGGGGGGGGACATGGGAGAAGAGGGAAGAAGCGAGAGAATCAGCACCACCAGCAGAAGCAGGGGGGGCAGGTGCAGCAGCATGGATGGGTCGCCCAGGATTGCGTGCGGCACTGCCCTGTCCATGCTGATCCCCCGATCTGGGATGGGGGAGGATGTATGGGGGAAGAGGGAGGAAGCGAGAGAATGAGCACCATTTGCATTACAAGGAGGGGAGCAGGTGCAGCAGCAGCTGGCGCAGCATGGATGGGTCCCCCAGGACTGCGTGCGGCACTGCCCTGTCCATGCTGATCCGAACTGGTGAGGGGTGAGAACGGGGAGGGATGTCAGGGAACGAGAGAGAAGGGCAATGGGATTCCCGTGTGCAAGAGACCACATTCTGCCAGCAACGAGGCAGCCCCCAGTTGCTACCCACCACCATGCTACACACACCAATACCCACTAAAAATCACCCTGCACCCACCAGCACTGAGCAGCACCCATCAGCACCCACCTGCAACCCCTTCCTGTGCGCCAGAGGCCGCATGCTCCCAGTCGCCTCCCCAATGGCCCTGTGCAGATCAAACCGCACCAGCCTTGGCAACACCTCCCGTTTACCCAGCCTTGGCAACACCTCCCTTTTACCCAGCCTTGGCAACACCTCCCTTTTACCCAGCCTTGGCAACACCTCCCTTTTACCCAGCCTTGGCAACACCTCCCTTTTACCCAGCCTTGGCACCACCTCCCTTTTACCCAGCCTTGGCAACACCTCCCTTTTACCCAGCCTTGGCAACACCTCCCTTTTACCCAGCCTTGGCAACACCTCCCTTTTACCCAGCCTTGGCAACACCTCCCTTTTACCCAGCCTTGGCAACACCTCCCTTTTACCCAGCCTTGGCACCACCTCCCTTTTACCCAGCCTTGGCAACACCTCCCTTTTACCCAGCCTTGGCACCACCTCCCTTTTACCCAGCCTTGGCAACACCTCCCTTTTACCCAGCCTTGGCAACACCTCCCTTTTACCCAGCCTTGGCAACACCTCCCTTTTACCCAGCCTTGGCAACACCTCCCTTTTACCCAGCCTTGGCAACACCTCCCTTTTACCCAGCCTTGGCAACACCTCCCTTTTACCCAGCCTTGGCAACACCTCCCTTTTACCCAGCCTTGGCAACACCTCCCTTTTACCCAGCCTTGGCAACACCTCCCTTTTACCCAGCCTTGGCAACACCTCCCTTTTACCCAGCCTTGGCAACACCTCCCTTTTACCCAGCCTTGGCAACACCTCCCTTTTACCCAGCCTTGGCACCACCTCCCTTTTACCCAGCCTTGGCAACACCTCCCTTTTACCCAGCCTTGGCAACACCTCCCTTTTACCCAGCCTTGGCACCACCTCCCTTTTACCCAGCCTTACCTGCAATCACCCTCTGACCCACACCCCTCTGCTTCCCTCCCGAACCAGCACCCATCAGCACCCACCAGCACCCATTGGCACCCACCTGCAGCCCTTTCCTGTGAGCCAGAAGCCGCATGCTGCCAGCCGCCTCCCCAATGGCCCTGTGCAGATCGAAGCGTACCCGCCTTGGCACCATTTGCGCAGCCCTTCCTATCCGCGACTGACACACAGTAAAGAGTCAGCTCACACCTGTACACACCTGGACACACCTGTACACACCTGGACACACCTGTACTCACCTGCACCCAGCAGCACCCACCTGCAGCCCTTTCCTGTGCGCCAGAGGTCGCATGCTGCCAGCCGCCTCCCCAATGGCCCTGTGCAGATCAAACCGTACCCGCCTTGGCACCACCTCTCGCTTCTGCAATTGACTCATCTCCAACACCTGAAAGAAGAGAGTGTGCAAGGGTGCAGAGCGGTGCAGAGGAGGACAAAACGTAAATTACAGGGAGGTCGCATGCTCCCTGCCAGCCGCCTCCCCAATCGCCCTGTGCAGATCAAACCACACCCGCCTTGGCACCACCTCTCGCTTCTGCAGCTGACTCATCTCCAACACCTGGTGGTATGGAAGGGTAAAGAGTGGTGTTAATTGGTGAATTATGGTGCTAATGGGTGAAAGGGGGTGTCAAGGGTGGAAACAGGCTCGGGCGTGGGGGATATCCCAGCAGCACTAAAGACTATATCTGGAAGCACTAAAGGAAATGCTTACCTGAGAGACGGTTTCAAGCAGCACCTCCCCAGGCTCGTACTTACACTGCAGTTACGACTGCTGCTATGGAGTAGGCTGAGTCTGCATCATCAACTGTGCATACCCCACTCACCTCACTTTACCCACAAGGCAGCGCCAAAAGAAACGCTTACCTGAGAGACCGTTCCCAGCAGCACTTCTCCCGACTCGTATATACTCTGCAGGTAAGACTGCTGCTCCGGATCCAATTGGGTCTGCATCATCAGCTGTACATACCCCACTCACCTCACACTGACCCTCTCTTAGCCCTCACAGCAGCGCAAGATGAAGCCCTTACCTGAGAGACCGTTCCCAGCAGCACTTCTCCCGACTCGTAGATGCTCTGCAGGTAAGACTGTTGCTCCGGATCCAATTGGGTCTGCATCATCAGCTGTGCATACCCCAGCACGCCGTTAATCGGCGTCCTCAGCTCATGACTCATGTTCGCCAGGAATTGAACTCGCGACCTCTCGGCTGCCCGTTTCGCGCGGGCGGCGAGCCTCAGCTCGCGGGTAAGAGACGAGGAGTTGAGGTATTGTTTCCACATGGTGATGTGGAACGTATCTGGGCCGTCCACTAGCACCATCGCCATCACCTCCACGAGAAACATCTGACCGTCGATTGACATGTGCACCCAGGGGAACCGGAACGGGCGGCCGTTGCTCGTGGCGATGTCTAACCAGCGCTGCTCGCTTGCTACTGCCGAAAGAATCCCCTCGGGTTGCACTGGGGGCGAGAAGACGACGGGTGATTGGCCGAAGATGCGGGTGCTGCGCTCGTTCTGGGCGACGCGGAGGATCCGGGCGGCGCTGTCGTTGCAGTCGACTATAGTGAGGTTCTTACAAACGAATATGGGGTCCTGGGTGGGTGGAAGAGGGAGGGAAGGAAGACGTGGGGAGGAGGGGGGAGGGAGGAGAGGGAGGGGGAGAGGGAGGGAGGAGGGAGGGAGAGAGGGAGGGTGGGATGGAGGGTGGGATCGAAGGAGGTGGGGGGGGAGAAAGGTGGGGAAGAAGCGAAACTACACTTGAAATCAGGACGAAAGCGGAAAGGCGGAATTGTTCAGAGGAGCACAGCTGGAGAGAGGGAAAGAGGGACAAATTACTGAATTACTGAGGCAGAAAAAATGTGAATGTGTGTGTGTGTGTGTGTGTGTGTGTGTGTGTGTGTGTGTGTGTGTGTGTGTGTTTCAGAAGCACGCTGGAGAGAGGGAGAGAACGACTTACCGAGGCGGAAAAGAACTTGCTTAGGCTATCTGAATCCGATCCCCCCCCTCCTGCTGCTGCAGCAGCAGCTTGCACCCCTGGCGGCAGGAAACTCGCTCCTTGCCCATCTGCCCCTCTCCCTGCTGCGGCTTCATCCACCCCCCCCATCCCCGTCCCCATCCCCATCCCCATTCCCATCCCCATCCCCATCCCCATTCCCATCCCCATCCGACCCGGCTTGACCCTCACAATCTCCTCCACCTCCACCTCCTCCTCCTCCTCACTCGCCTTTCCAGCAGCTTCCCCCTCCCCTTCCAATCCCTCCTCCCCGCTCTCCCTCCCCTTGCCTTTACTCGGCAGATCCAACACGCCCCCTGCTCTCTCTCCCCCCCCTCCTTTCCTCCCAACCATCTCTCCTCTCTCCCCCGTCTCCCCAATCTCCTCCGTCTCCTCATCCTTTCCGCCCTCCTCCTCTTTCTGCACCACATCACGATCACGATCCTGATCATAGTCATCATCGTCATCATCACTGGGGGCGTTCTGGGCTTCCAACAGCCGAGTCAGCCCTTTCTTGAGTAAATCGGTCCAAAGCCCAGACTCCCCACCTCCACTCGTCACCGCCACCTCCCCCACTCCCACATCTGCCCTGAAACAAGCCGCAGAGGCAGATCCAGACGCAGAACAAGTAGCAGCACCAGCAGCAGCAGCAGAAGCAGCTGCAGCAGCGGCAACAGAAGCAGCTGCAGTAGCAGCACCAGCAGCGGCAGCAGAAGCAGCTGCAGCAGCGGCAACAGAAGCAGCTGCAGTAGCAGCACCAGCAGCGGCAGCAGAAGCAGCTGCAGCAGCGGCAACAGAAGCAGCTGCAGTAGCAGCACCAGCAGCGGCAGCAGAAGCAGCAGCAGCGGACTTAGCGTGTGAACCTGCAGCAGCAGAGGAAGCTGCAGCTGCTCCCATTCCTCCAGACTTGATGCTCGATTCAGCTCCTGCCTCCCCCTTCACCTCACGCATCACTCGTGCAGCAGAAACATTACCGCCTGCAGCATCACCGCCTGCAGCATCACCGCCATCACCACCATCCCCAACATCACCACAATCATCCCCCTGTAGAACTCTTATCCGTTGCCCTCCCACCTGCTTCCCTCTACCTCTCCCTTCTGTTGCTGCCGCTAAGAATGGCCCTGCCAGTGCCTGTGGTGGTGCATGAATCCTCTCAAATACCCCTTCTCTTTCAGCTGCTTCAACAGCAGCAGCAGTAGCACCAACAGCACCACCGTCACCACCACCAGCAGCACCACCACCAACAACACCAGCAGCAGCAGTGGCGGTGGCGGCACCAGCATCAGCAACAGCAACAGAAGGAAGGTCCGTGCTGCTGCTACCAGCTCCAAGGCTCCTCCCCCTCCCTCCCAAGTCTCCCAATCCCCCCTCCATTATCTCATCCGCTACAGTCACATCCCCTTCTGCTTCCTCTTCCCCTTCCAGTGCCCTCCTCAGATGCAACCCATAGGTTACCAGACCACCTTCCCCAGATAACGCCTCCCTCTCACTGCTTTCATTGTTCAAACCACCAATTTGACCTGCCCCACTGCCAATTTCCTCCGCAGCAGCAGCGCTGTTACACCCACCACTCATACTCTGCTGCTCCTCCCGGTCTCCCTCTCCCTTCTCCCTGTCTCCCATGCTCCCCTCTTTCCTCTTCTTCTCCCTATCACTGCTTCGCCCCTTCTCCTGCCCCAACAACTGCCCACCCTTCGCCTCAGCACTCACCCATTCACCCCGTCCTTGCCCCCGGTTCCCTCTACCTCCTCTCCCTCCCTGCCACTTCCCCAAATCCCCTTGCCGCCTCCTCTCCCCTGCTCCAACCCTAGGCACCTCTTCCTCCAAACCCTCTCCACTCTCCAAACGCGCTTTAATCTCCTCTATCCTCGTTGGAAGCTGATCCAGTAACTGCCTGTCTTCTAACGGATCTCCCTCCTCTATAAGATCCTCGTTAGAGCGCCACCGGGGGAGAGTAGGCAAGGTCATGGGTCCTTTCCGCTTCTCTATAGTCACAGGCGCGGGCTGGGGCTTGCGGGTGGCTGCAGCGGCTGCAGCTGCGGCCGCTACAGCCGCTGCAGCTGCTACAGCCGTCGCTGGAGGGACAAGGGGAGCGGAACTGGGGATAGCTGGAGGTAACTCAGCAGAAGGAGCTGCTGCCTGGAGTCTGGCTCCTGACGGTCCTACTGCTGCTGGTGGTGGTGCTGCTGCTGCTCGTGCTGCTGGTGCTGCAACAGCGGCGGCGGCGGCAGCAACTGCGGGCGATGCGAGTGCTGCTGCTTCTGCAGCGGCAGCCGCTGGGGGGGTTGCGGCGCGCGTGAATGCTGCTGATGCTGCTGCTCTATCTGCAGATTCACCTGCGGCCGCTTCTCTCGCGCGTTGCAAGCGTTCAAAACTGGAGATTTGCGAAAAAGGGCTCAAGGCTGGAGTATGCGTGCCAACTGCTTCTGACAGTGCAAGAGCAGGGGGAGCACTTAGCATATCAGCATCTGGGAAAGGGGCAGGTGAAAGGAACTCGGATGCAGTTGTATCGCCAGCAGCGGCGGCAGCAGCAGCAGCAGCAGCAGTGGCGGCAGCACCGGAGGTGGCAACGGCAGCAAAAGTGGTACCTGCGGCAGCGAAAGCAGCGGCAGAAGTAGCGGCGGCAGCAGTAGCAGCAGCAGAAGCAGTGGCAGGGTCTAAGAAAAATCCCGCCGCCGCTGCTACAGGCGCCACTTCAGGCGCAGTCACAGAAGCTGGGACGACCTCTAGCTCCTCGAATACACACACCACTGACAGCCTTCCTCTACCGCCTGCTCCTGCTGCTGTCGCTGCTGCTGCTGTTCCTGGCCTCTCTGATCCTTCTCCTGCTCCAGCACCCGCTGCCCCTGCCTGCCCTCTTACAAACGCTGCATCACTTCCTTCGGACTCCCTTCCCCTTGCATCTCTCCTGGGTTCTCCTACGCCTTGTCTCCTTGCCACTACAGGCAGCATCCGTGCGCGCACCCACACAAACTGCTGCTCAGTCTGAGGGTCCTCCCCTTCTGCTTCCTCATCCACCCTCAGCCGCACGTGCAGCTGGTGCTGCCCGCGGAAAAACCTTCCGCCGCTGCCCGAAACAGCAGCCCCAGCAGTAGAAAACCCGCGCCGGGCAGCGTGCGAAGAAGAAGCGCCTGAAAAACAACCGTGCGACTCCTGGTGCGGCGGGTGAAAGGGGGTTACTCCAGGAGTTGCCGCAGGGGTTGTGGCAGGAGTTGTGGCAGGGGTTGTAGCGGGTACTGTAACCCATGGCGGTGTATTCCCAGGAGAATGCTGCCTATAGTTCGGCTGACTGATTCCTGTGGCGGCGTGTGCACTGCACGGGCGGACCGACGGAGCTGTGCTGCTGGAGGGAGCTAAGCGCGCGCACTTAACCAGCGTGTCCTGTTGAAAGCCGGAGGAGAAAAAACGTGGAGGTAAAGTTTGTGAAGTGAGACTTGAAGCTACGGCCGGCAGTGAGGGAGTGAAGCGTTTTGAGACGTCTCAAAACACCACTTGTGCTGCAGAAGGGGCAAAGAGGCAAGCGGTGAGTGGCGAACCATTGAGACGTCTCAAAACACCACTTGTGCTGCAGAAGGGGCAAAGAGGCAAGCGGTGAGTGGCGAACCATTGAGACGTCTCAAAACACCACTTGTGCTGCAGAAGGGGCAAAGAGGCAAGCGGTGAGTGGCGAACCTTTGAGACGTCTCAAAACACTTCTTCAAAGTTTGTGAAGTGAGCCTTGAAGCTACGGCAGTGAGGGAGTGAAGCGTTTTGAGACGAACACGGGGAGAGAGACGATGGAAAGGACACCTTTTTGTTTCACACAAAGAGCAAGCAGATAATTAATTATGCAGATTTCCATGGATGCACGCGGATAAACGTCAGGCAAAATATTCAAATAAGGAAAGAAAACAAGGGTCAGGAGGGAGTACCATGAAGAGCGGCTGATCGTTCAAATGGAGCAGCTCCAGCATGGATCGGTTCTCTAGTGACCCCGGCTCCTGCTGCAGCAGCTCGCACGCTCCCATGCTGATGGAAGCAGGGGGGATCAGAAAGGGATGGAGGCGCGAGGGATGGGAAGGAGAGAGTGGGTGGGGGAAGGCAGCGGAGCTCCAAAAGACTTTTGAGTCGACTCAAAAGTCAACTCGAAAGGGATGGAGGCGCGAGGGATGGGAAGGAGAGAGTGGGTGGGGGAAGGCAGCGGAGCTCCAAAAGGATCGGATTCTCTCTCTATAGACCTTGGTTCCTGCTGCTGCAGCAGCTGACTTTTGAAGACTTTTGCTGCAGCAGCTACTCAAAAGTCAACTCGCTATAGACCTTGGTTCCTGCTGCTGCAGCAGCTCGCATCGCACGCTCCCATGCTGATGGAATAAGGGGGGTCAGAAAGGGGAGGAGCGAGTGGGTGGGGAGAGAGGGCAGCGGAGCTAAAAAATGGATTGGTTCTCTAAAGGCCTTGGTTTCTTCTGCAGCAGCTCGCATGCACCCATGCTGATCAGGGGGATCAGAGAGGGGAGGAGCAAGTGGGAGGGGAGAGAGGGCAGCGCAGCTCCAAAATGGATCGGTTCTCTAAAAGCCTTGGTTTCTTCTGCAGCAGCTCGCATGCACCCATGCTGATCAGGGGGATCAGAAAGGGGAGGAGCAAGTGGGTGGGGAGAGAAGGCAGCGGAGCCTCAAAATGGATCGGTTCTTTAGAGACTTCGGTTCAATCTGCAGCAGCTCGCACGCAGCCATGCTGATGGAATACGGGGAGCGAGGCGAGAGAGAGAGAGAGAGAGAGAGAGAGAGAGAGAGAGAGAGAGAGAGAGAGAGAGAGAGAGAGAGAGAGAGAGAGAGAGAGAGAGTGAGGGAGACAGACGAGAGAGCAGGTGGCCAGAAGAAACACGAGATGCAGCCCAGTCGCGATTCGATTATGAGATGCTGATGATGAGCAAACTGATGTTAGAGCGAGGGTAAAAGTTTCTGACCCTACCCGTGGAAAGCCAATACGAGCCATTATTAATGCAAACCTCTTCGATCTCCGCTCACACAAAGATTGGTACCTTTATTAACATAACCGGACAGAGCACAAGGGGATTCGATAGAAAATACAGAAGACAAGCCGTGAATGACCGTAGCCACCTTAGGGTGCTTTCAGAAGATGCCTAGTTCAGAGACATTAAAGAGGAATAGACCTAAAATATAGGCACGTGAGAGCGATACGCTGAACGAACCAAGCGTCAAATATTATACATGCTTGTGTCAAAAAGCAATGGCCACTGCATGAAATTCCTCGTAAAATCACAATCTCTCTGCATGAAATCACAATCTTAGCACTTTGTGAGAGCAAAATGTCGTATCCAGCGTACTAGTTGCAAGTAATCTGAAAAAACTTGTTTTACGCATGAAATCTTCATGCAACCCGCAACTCCCTCATGAGAAAGGACTTGATCATCTTGTGCCGAAGTAAGATAGTGATAAATATCACGAACAATGATGGAATTTTTAGTTTTTCGCAGGTAAATACCTAGCAGAGAGAATCTTAGCGCCTCTGGCGGCAATGACGACGGCAGCCGTCAGATCGAGAAGCGACGTCAGCGCATCTCCATGCGCAAGTGAAACGGCCGCCGCGGGATCCGGAATCCGCGAGCGATGAGGCATTGTAATACTCGTAAGTAGAACGACCGACGAAATCCTAGTGTTTGTCCTAGTAGGACCGGCGACCGTCAATACCCTAAACTTAAGTGCCAGGACATGATGTACTGTATCAACAGATAGCACGTACTAAAGTTTAAACCCTCGCTAGCTCTGGCAGAAAACTGTGCTGGCATCGCACGCTCCATCAAGTCTACAGTGGTAACGACTTCACTCATCTGCCAGCCCAGTGTTGATTCACGCATCGTAAGTCAGAGTGCTGCTGCTGGTGAGGTGAATCAGGTCAGGAGGAACCACCGCCAACGCAAAACAGTAGGTAACTGATAGGCTGGACTAGCAATGGACAAGAGTCGCGCGACAGCTTCCATTCCATCGCAAAGAATGGCAATAAATCGGCGGTCTCTCATCTCATGCATGTCGTTTCTGTGTGACTCGGAGAAAACGAATGCACAAATAACTAATTTGAAACACGCAAAAACGCTCTGCAAAAACCGAGGTGAAGGGGTAAACGCTCTGAGGACGTATGTTTCCTGGGTTCGAAACGAAGGGTCTCGAACGAAGCTACGACAAACGCGATCTCGACGATGACCGCTAGAGTGTTTTTAGGCTGATGTGTATGCGCCCTCGTAAGCTCTGAATTTCTTCACGGTGGCGGGCAGATCCAGCGAGACACTATGAACAGTGCATGACAGGATCCGACATGATACTTGGATTGCCACCGTTAGCTTGAACAGATTTTCCATCGGTCAGAGAAGGGGAGACCATTCATGCACATGACGGGTTGATTCTGGGATTTCTAGATGAGTCGTAACGTAGTTCAAGTATTACTTAAGAAAGTGCACAATGCAGTCACTTAAGAAAGTGACACTGGCTACAGGCATATTTTTAAGCAGTTCATGGTGAACTCGAATACTATATAATCTGGACTAGAAGACCTTCATTGACATACAGTCTCATTCGTGGAGTGCAACAAGGACTATACCCAGTGGCTGCTTGTGTTGTCGCCACACCTCAACGGAACGGACCCGTCGTCCAACCCAAGTCTAGGGAATTGGTTGCTTGGCGCCCCTCCCTCCCGTCCTTTCGACCCCATCCACACCGATGGCTGCTGCAGCCGGTGGCTGGATGCTGACAAGAAAGAACTGCTTTCGCTAAAATGTTTGGCATAAAACGGCCTGCGTTTGCCATGCGTTGGCGCGACGTGCTGACTGTGATCGGATCTAGCAGGATCACGCTTCATCGGATCACAGCCACCAACCACTTCCAACGTGAATTGATGGGGAGGGGAAGTACAGAAGGAGAAATAACCGGTCCATGCTGAAGTTTGTGAGGTTTTTGTTGAGACTGGCACTGCCTGGTTCGGACGCACGGAGGCCTCTACGCTCACTGTGGTAGAAAAATACACCCCGACGGATAGAATAATTCAACGGGTTTTGGTGGGTGGTGCAACGTGTTACCATAACGTCTATTATATTTTCGTGCCCCGAAGCGGTACAGGTCAACCTAGACTTTAGACGCAGACAAGCTTCTACGGACGCCTCACCTGCACGCGCAATATTATCAACGATCTGGATGTTGGCGGCTGGCAAGAAACAGTTGCCCCAGAAGATCGACAAGAATCTTTAGATGCATTCCGGGATTGGGGCCAATAGAAAGAGAGGATGTGATGTTTCAAGCAACAGAGAATATCCGTCCCAAGAAAGTCACCCTCGTTTTAACAGAAAGTGACGCATTGCATTTCCTACATAACCACCTTGGAAATGCAACACAAACAATACACAGTGATATCTGTCACAATGATGTTTATAATGACAAGGTACGTGTATAAGCATACCCCATGACATGTTTTATTTCCACATCTGCGACTCACAACACATTTACAAATAATCTCGTTATAAATATGAGTATCTGGGAAGAGCACTGTATTCCCGTTTGGGGAGTGCTCCGCTCTCAGAGCACTTTGCTTACACTGAACATACAATATCTATAGAAATATATATCTTCATATGTGTGGATTCCAGCTCAACCGTTTAAGGTTCATTTTCATGGCTGAGGAAGGTTTTGTAAGGTGTACAAGTGGTTGTTAACTCCATCGTTTAGGGTTTGCGCAGTTCGGCTCGTTTCAGTGCTCATTTCAGCTCAGCAAGTCATCAGCAGGGTTTCTTGCTGCTCCCTTGCTCCTCCCAGAAGCCCACGCGCACAGGGAATGAGAGTCTTACTCTTGTTCCTCTCCCGACCTCCCGTCTCCTTCCCCTTCACCATTTCTCTGCGTTTCTCCTCATTCCCCATCCCTCGCTCACTCGAAGCATGTCCCTCCATCCATGATTTCCGTTTCCAATCGCACCCCTTCCCCCAGTCGTTCCGCTTCCCCCAGTGCTTCCCGTCGGCGCGGAAGTATCTCCTCTGGACCCCGCTTTCCCCCGCTCCCCCGCTCCCCCTCTCCCCCTCGCTAACTGTAAGGGCTTCGCTACGCTAGGCGGCGGTGAAAATTTTCCTCTCGATTTCTCCATTCGCTTTGAGGGGAATTGAAAGGAGATGCAGGAGGGAGAAGCGCGAGAGAGAGAGGGAGGGAGGAGAGAAGAGCGAGGAGAGAGAGAAGGAGGAGGTTTCAAGTAAACGAAGAGGCTGTCTAGTCACTTGTGAGAATCCTTAGTCGGGAGAAAGATGGGAGAGGAGCGAGCAGAGCGAGGAGAAAGAGGAGAGCGGGGCGGAAGCGAGGAGATTCAGGAGGGAGAGAAGAATGGGACGGGAATTTACCAGAAAAGGGGCAGAGAGGAGAGCAGGGAAGCAAGGGGGACAGGGGAGGAGGAACGAAGAAGGTTGGAGGAGGAGGGGGAGGATGATTGGCTCGACGGGGAAGACGCTGCTCTTGTACATACCCCTGGAAAAAAACCTGAGAAAGCACCTGAGGAATCACCTGAGGAAGCACCTGGGAAGATACAGCAGTGGCTTTCGATTTCTGGGGGCTGGGGGAGATTAAGAGCTCTTCTCGAAGCGACACCTGACTTCAGAGCTAGTGACGAAGCTATTGGCTCCAAGAATCTCGGAAAGGATGATGACGTGGCTGAGAGTTTGAGTGGCCTACGTGGCAGTAGTGGGGGCAGGAGGAGATTAAGAGGTGCTGCTGACGTGGCACCAAGTTCTATCCGTTTCAAACCAGTTTGCAATCGCCAACCCCGCGATACTCTGGTTGCTGCCATCTTCGTTATAAGCACATCCGTTACAGTGACAATTGTTGCCATACACGCCCTCTCCTCCCTCTTCCTCCAATCTCCCCCCGCCCCCTTCCTGGAACCTTCCTCCCAGTCCTTCTCTCCCAGCGCCGACAAGCTCATACCACAAATCGCAGGGGCGGCACTTTCTGTCCTTATCTGCTACGTGACGCCACTCGAAGGATCTCTCGCCTTGCTGGCAGGCGGATTTGCCGCCTACCAGTTTGTCTTTTTCCTCGCCCCGCTTCGCCCCCTTCGTCTTCTCTCCTCCCTACTGACCTTGCTACAGGAGAGTGAGGAGGAGGGGGAAGTGGGAGCGGGAGGAGGAGGGGGGGTGGGGATGGGGGAAGGAGGAGGGTTAGAGGGACGGGGATTAGGGCGAGTGGTTGGGGGGTGGAGGAGAAAATGGAGAATGGGGGGAAAATATGGTGTTGCTGCTGGTGGTGCTGCTGCTGGTTCTGGTTACAAACGCTACACCTCCTTCCGCCATTTCTCCCCTCTGTCCTCGTTATGGGATTGGTACGGTACATGGTATGAGCCTCTGGAAGTTAGCAGCACGTGGGTTGTGGTGTTCTCGGTGCTCGTTCTCATTCTCGCTGCCTCCCTGCTGCTGCTGCTGGGGCTGGGGTCTGGGAGAGGAGGGGGAGTGAGTGAGAAAGAGAGGAGGAGGGAAGAGGAGGAATGTATGGAACAGGAGCAGCAGCAGCAAAAACAGCAGATGCAGCAGCAGCAGCCGCCGCCACTTTCCAACTCGTGTCCCGAATTTGCAAAGTCGAGCCTGCAGCAGCAGCAGCCATCCCATGCAGATTCATCTCCCTATCTGACCTCTCCCCACCCTCTGCCGTTCCAACTCCCTCCCTCCTCCATACCTCTTCATTCCTCCACACCCTCCTCGCACCACCCCCAGCTTCCCCCCATCCAGTTTCTCCCCCCCACCTCCCCTGTCAATTCCCATCGCCCCTGTCTTCCCCACCTTCCCCACCTTCCCCGCTCCTCCCAACTCCCCCAGCCCTCCAATCCTCCCCGCCTTACCCCCTGCCTCCCCCGTTTCCACTATGCCTTAGCCGTCAGCACCACCTCCCACTCCGCCCTATCTCTCTCCCACCGCCGCTCCCCGGCCCGCGCCCTCGTCTCCCTCATCGCCCTCCTCGCGGTTCTAGCAAGCTTCCTCACACCACTCTTTGTCTCGACCTTTTCCTTTTCCTTCTCTCCTTCCTCCTCCTCCCCCCTCCAAGGACCCTTCATACCACCACCCTCCCAGCCCTCATCTCTTTCCTCCCCCTTGCTCCCAGCCCACTGCCCCTCCTTTTTCCTTTCCATGGATAGAGCTGCAATTGCCTTAACTGCTCAGCAGCAGCAGGGGGCGGAAGGGGATGAGAAGGAGGAGCAGAGGCAGGAGCAGCGGCAGCAGCAGGAGGAGCAGCAGGAGGGAGCATGGGGTGCTGGTGCTGGGTTCATATCAGCTCAAATGACCTACATCCCTCACTCCTCCTCTTCCTCTTCCTCTTCCTCCTCTTCCTCTTCCTTCTCTTCCTCCACCCACAGCGCCACAACCACCCCCACCCCATCTCCCTCCACCTTCCTCCCCTCCCTCACTCACTTCCTCTCCGCCCTTGCCTGCCATCTCCCCCTCTGGATCCATCTGGCCGTCAGAACAGCCGGCCAGCTGGCAAGTCTGTGGCTGGCTGTCAGTGTGGTCATGACAGTGCAGTTCGCAGCTGCAGTGGCGGTTGGCAGTGAGGCGTTTGAGGAGGGTGCTCTAGATAACTCATTAACGAGTAATAGAGATAGCTTGAGAGGGAATGATGCTGAAGCTGGAACAACAGCAGCTGGAAGTTTATTGAGGCCAGCGGCTGCAGTGGCGGTTGGCAGTGAGGCGTTTGAGGAGTGTGCCCTAGATAACACATCAGCAGTGAGGCTTTCAAGGAGGAATAGAGACAGCTTGAGAGGGAATGGTGCTGAAGCTGAAGCAGCGGCAGTGGGATGGGGGGCAGCTGCTGCAGTGGCGGCCAGCAGTGAGGCGTTCGAGGAGGGTGTTTTCAGTAATCCGCCTCTTTCTGAGACAACTGAAACCCCGTTTGACAGGGGTGCACTGGAAGAAGCAGCAGGGCGGGTGGGAGGGATGGGGCGAGAGCAAATGGAAGAGAAATCTTCGGGGCGCTTTCCCGGTGATGACTTGTGTGGGTTTGTGGAGGAGAGGAAGTTTCTTGCATGGAACAGGCCGGGTTCCTCAACGTTACCAATACGGTTGGTTTTTTTTTGTTTGTTTGCTTGTTTGTTTGTTTGTACTTCTATTTGTTTGTTTGTTTGTTTGTTTGTTTGTTTTTTTTTTTTTTTTTTTTTTTTTTTTTGCGGCGTTCAAAGAGCAGACTGTCCGATGCTCAATCCCACCACTACGCGCATGCTCTGTTCGCAACAATCGGCACCATCACCACCGTCTCTCTCACCCCCTTGTTTGAGGCGCCTCAGAAAACATCACCACCGTCTCTCTCACCCCCTTCCCCCCTTAACCCCTTCTCTCCTCTCTTCCACCCGTCTCCTCCCTTACCCCACCACTGCAGGCACGCTCTGTTGGCATCTCTCGGAACAATCGCCACCATCGCTCTCATCCTCACACTCTCCCCCCTTCAATTCTCTCATGTCGACTCCTCTACCCCCATCTTCCCTGCTCTCCCCTCATCCCCACCACTCCAGGCAAGCCCTGTTCGCATCTCTCGGAACAATCGCCACCATCGCTCTCATCCTCACACTCTCCACTTCCCTCGCTCTCATCCTCCCCGTCCTCCTCTCCTCCCTCATCTCCTCCCTCCCCTCCACTCCATTCCTCTCAACTTCTTCACAATATTCCGCCTCTCAGTTCTCCTCCTCTCAGTTCTCCTCCTCCTCCACCTCGCCCTCTGTGGACGATCGTCGCCTCATGCCCGCCTCTGCTTCTCTCACACTAACCAGAGTGCTGGCCCTCGTTTGTGTCACACCCTTGCTCGCCTTCTTTACAAGGTACGTGATTCAATACACTCTCAAAATGAGAAACGGACAGAAAACAGCAAGCTCGGTTTGACCAACCAGAAACTTTTGAGTCGACTCAAAAGTCAAACAGCAAGCTCGGTTTGACCAACCAGAAACTTTTGAGTCGACTCAAAAGTCAAACAGCAAGCTCGGTTTGACCAACCAGAAACCAACAAGTTACGTGACTAAATACTTTCTCATGTGCTTTCTCGTCTAGTTTTCATGGCTAGTTCAGTTGTGTTGCTCTTAGAAAGTGCCATCTTCCTATCCTTCTTAGAAAGTGCCATCTTCCTATCCTTCTTAGAAGGTTTTGCTCCCTTTTATTGCCCTTGCTCCTCTTGGAGGGTGACATCTTCCTATCCCTCTTTCTCCCCGCCCCTCCAAAAGTCTGCACTTACTCTTATGGATAAAGGCAATGCTCGTATGGCTTTGCATGTTCAGTGTACATATGTGTCTGTTTGTGTTTCTGTGTCTCTGTATCTGCTCTTGTGCATGTATATGTGTGTGTGAGTGTGTGAGTGTATTTTGTGTGTGTGTGTGTGTGTGTGTGTGTGTGTGTGTGCATGTGTGTGTGTGTTCATGTGTGTGTGTTTTTGTGTGTGTGTGTGTGTGTCTCTGTGTTCATGGTGCATGTGTCTTGGCTTGCATGTCTGGTTTTGTGTTTGTTTGCATGTGTGTGCGGTGTGCCTGTGTTGTCTCTTCTCCAACTGCTTATCGCACCAGACTCGTGTTGCCTATCGCAGCAGCAACTGGAGAAGGCTTCATCTCCTCCCTGCGCACCTCCCTCCTCTTGCTCCGCTCACACGCCTCCGTCATCATTTCCCTCTCACTCTCCTCCTCCCTCCTCTCCATTGCCATTATCACCTCCCACGTTGCTGCGCTAGCTTCTCTTGGGGTAAGCACCTTCAGGGTGAGGTTAGTGATTCTGTAGCTCACTGTTTCTATGAGTAAGCCTCCCACAACAACTGGTCAGGTATTGTAGTTAAGGGTTTTCAAGTCTCTTGGAGCAAATCTCTCTCCATACCTTTTACAACTCGTTTTAGGCTTAACATTTACCCCGTCATGTTCCCCTCTCTCTCCATCCTTGCAATGTCAGGCATTGTTTGGCATTTTCCTTGAGGGTGGACTGAATGAAACGCTTTTGGGCCGGCGGGTGGCAGTCATTTGGGTCTTCCTTGCGCCTTCCATTGCTGCTGTGCTGCTGGTAACCTTGTTACAAGGGGCAAGCTCAGTTCTGGTGCTTCGACGAGTAGTTGGTAGTAACTCCACAGCATCTCTTGCCGTTCCAAGCGAAAAATCCTCTCCGCCGGCAGTCAGTGGTACCAAAAACTGGTTCGTGGAAAAGTATGCTATGAGTACACAGGTGACCTAAATAGGGATTAAAGCTTGACATTGTGCTTGTAAATAGTGTATTTAATTAACTGATTTGTATTATTAGAATGAAACCATACACGCCCCTTCAGGTACTGTACTACCGGGTTGTTGACTCAGGATCTCAATGACGTCATCCGTAACTCTCGGAATTATCTCATTGAAGTTGGCGATGATTCACTACTGCGTGGTTTCGGCCACTCCGGATCATTCGCGGATGCACTTGAGTTCCCGTACAAACGAACTACTGCGAACAAAACTCCACACAAACGCAACAGCTAAATGCCACGTCTAGTTATACAAAACTGCTCGCAGATGTTTTTGCGACATTCGTGCGTGCTTGTTCTGGGCTGCTTAGTAATCTCATGCAATGTCGGTCTACAAAAATACGCCCTCGATAGAGTTTTCGGGATGGTGACAACATTCCCAAGACCAGCAAAGCTGACATTGTCAGAGTTTTCTTGACCAATACATTCTCTTACATCCATCTGGATTTCTTACCAGGTCAGGAAGCTTCACAACAATCTAAGAACCACCATCAGGTCAATCTCACTCCCAGGCCTGCTAACACCATTCAGTCTTATCGCCTGATCCTTTCAGCTCGTTTCGCCATCAGGAGGTCCGCAGGCCTGTGAGATCTGCGAATTCGCGTGAAGCGGTTCACGGATTGGTGGGATTGGTCAGATTCTGAGTGCTGTTTCAATAGTTCCTGAACCGGGTTTCCATTTTCGACCGGAAGCCATTATCTTCACCTTAAACCGATCTAAGCCCAAAAGGTCCGTTTTTTTCTCATAGATTCGGAGCACGTTGTCAATCCACGTGGGCAAATTCACAGACATTGCAGCTCGGAACTCCGGACTTCTCATAGGTTGACGGGTCCAGACTGCGACTTCACGGAAAATGGCTCACGTGCAGAATCCGTTCGACCTTCTGACGGGTGGAGGCGGCGCGGGCGGTGGTGCTGACGGAGGCTCCAAGAATCGCCGAAACCGGAAGAAGAAGCAGCAGCAATCTCAAGGAGACGACCAGCAGCAGCAGCAGCAGCAGCAGCCTCAGCAGCAGCAGCAAAAGCAGGAGCCGGAGGTGGTTCAACTTGCACCAACCGAACCTCAACCGCCAACAGCCACGGCCGCTGCTTCGGTCGGTCAGCAGGCAGATGCAGCTTCCCCCGCAGCTGCCTCTGCACCTTCCGCCGCACCTTCCGCTGCGAAGAAGAAGAAGGGGAAAGGCGCAAAGGCGAGGCAGCCTCGTTGGGGGGACGAGGAGGAGGAACCAGCCAATGGCGCAGTCGCTTCTCCTGAGATCTCCTCCAAACCGGCAGAAAAAGCCGCCGCGCCGGCAGTTACGCCGTCATCTCCGCCGGCCGCCGGCACGGAAATTCCGCTAATCAAGGATCCCAAGGCGTACGAGACGGGGGGCCTGATGCCGGCGGAATGGGGGGCGGAAACCGCGCGGGAGGAGGCGTGGCAGCAGGGCGGAAAGAGCAAAGGCGGAAAGCAGGCCAAATCCGTGGGTGCCGCCGCCGGCGCGGCTCCAGCTGCGCGTGACGGGAACATCGGCGCTGCTGCTGAGCCTGCCCCGGGCGCGGGGGGAGCGATCAGCGCGGAAGCTGCGGCGCTGGAGGCGGCGGCGGAGGCGTGCGGAAGGGATGCGGAGGCGCGGGTGAGGCAGTGGCACGACTGGACTGTGCGCGCGCAACAACTGCCCGCGCCTGGCATTGCGACGGCGTGGAAGGAGGTGCGTGGGATAGGTGCACCTGCGGACGGATTATTGTTGGTTCGATCTGGGCTGGTCTGCTAGAAGTTGGGTCGCATGGCGACTTTTTTTTTTTTTTTTTTTTTTTTGCAAGGTTGAGAGTCGTTGTTTAGATGGCACCTGACCTCACAAATGCCTATATTTCTTTCCTGCGGCAGATTTTCCTGAGGAGTCGAGCGTTGGAGAAGACGGTGGAGAGCTGCATCACGCTGCCTCTGTACCCCCACCACCTGCCGCATCTCCAGGTAGATTTGATCTGATACGATTGTTTAGAGAAGGGCGGAGTGGAAGGGAGAGTGGGGGAGGGGAGGGGAGGGGAGGGGAGGGGAAAGGGAGGGGAGGGGTGGGGAGGAGGGGAGAGAAGGGGAGAGGAGGGGAAGGAAGCTATTACACGTTTCAGATAGGATAGTTGCCCACCCCACCTGCCTCACCTTCAGGTGGATTTGATACGATCCACCTTTGTATGGGAACGAAAATGGACTGCACGAAAGTATATTTGTCGAGATTGAAATGTGCTGATTTACTGAACCAGCAATGGATGGCTCCCAATATGATATTCCTCTTGTCCCTCCCCAAACCCGTCTCCCATCTTCGTCCCGCTTGTTTTATCCGCTGAAAAACGTCAACCACCTTTCTTTAAACACAGCTCCTTCAGAAAATATTTGCTTATCCTTCCGTCCTCTTTCCCTTGCCATCGTCCCCTTTGCCATCGTCCTCCTGCCACCTTCCCCCTCCCACATCCCTCCCACATCCCTCCTCACATCCACCCCCCTGAAACACCATCAATAATCCCTCTCCCACTAATTCCCCCCACCCCCCTTAACCTTCTCTCCCGCTCTCCCCCTCCTCTCTCCCCGTCTCCCCTTCCCCTCTCCCCCCCCGTTCTCCCTCTCTCCCCTTCCTGCCTCCTTCTTAACGTGAATCTACCACCAGGCGCTTCTCTCCGTGTCCCTGGGCCATCAGGAGGCGGCTCAGGTGATTTCTCAGGTGGCATCGGACCTGTCTCAGGTGCTATCTGAGGAAGGCGACACCCTGGGCCTCACAGGTGGATCTGCGGGCAAGGGAGCAGCGGGAGGGGATGTGCGTGCCGCAGCTGCTAAGGCTCTGGCTGCTGCTGTGACTGCAGTGAAGGTGCGTGTAAAAGGGGTGGTTTTCTCTCTGTTTTGACTTATCTTACATCTTATGCGGGCACGGGGGCAGCGGGAGGGGATGTGCGTGGTGCGGCCGCCAAAGCTCTGGCTGCTGCTGTGACTGCAGTGAAGGTGTGTGTGAAGGGGGCGGTTTTGAAACGTCTCAAAACTCGAAGCAGGCCCTGTTTTTGTGGCTACGTTGTTAAGACGCCTAAGAAACGTTTCCATCCACCCTCCGCCCGTTTCTTGTGCGTGCAGCTGGGCGGGTCAGGGTGGGCAGTGGAGCGCATCGCTGCTCAGCTTGGTGACGCGGGTGTGTCCTCAAAGCTGCAGGAGATGCAGACCAAGGTAACCCAGGGGATATGGTGAAGGCAGAAAGGGTTACAAAGAAATGGGGGGCTGGGCAAAAGGGTTGAGGACGGAAGGGTGTTTGGAGTTTCAGCTTTGGGACGACTTTTGAGTCGACTCAAAAGTCACCTCGAAATGGGGGCTGTGCAGAAGGGTTGAGGACGGAAGGGTGTGCGGAGTTTCAGCTTCGGGATTTGCCTAGGCAAGGGGACTTGGAATCAGCAGCACCGCACTTGATTGAAGAAGTGTTTTGAGATCAGCAGCACCGCACTTGATTGAAGAAGTGTTTTGAGATCAGCAGCACCGCACTCTCAAAACACTAGCAAATGCGTATTCGTCCCATTTACCCCTGCCTCGCTTTGCCCTTATCCAGGCTGCGTCAATGGAGCATCAGCTGCAGCTGATCGCAGCAGGAGGAGCAGCAGCAGCGGCAGCAGTGGGAGGCGCGGCAGCAGCAGAGGAGGGCGGGGCAGCAGCTCGTGGCGTGTACGTGCTTTGCGTTGCCTTGCTCCGTTCCTCTCTGCCCTGCTGTGCTGTGCTCTGCTCCCGCCTGCTCTTCTGTGCTCCCCTCTGCTCTGTGCTGCTCTGTGCTGCTCTGTGCTGCTCTGTGCTGCTCTGTGCTGCTCTGTGCTGCCCTGTGCTGCCCTGTGCTGCCCTGTGCTGCCCACCTCTTCCTCTCCAGCCTGCAATCCCCAGCGCCCTTCCCTGCCGAATCCGTTTCTCTCCCTATTTCTATCCGCTTTGTGCTGCCTCTTTCCCCTTTGATACTCCCTTCGCAGGAGACTATCCCAGCTGGTGAACATAACAGAGTCACGAATCAACCTCCTCCTTTCCAGCCTGCAATCCCCAACGCCGTCTCCAGCCGAGACCACCTCACCTGCTGCAGCCGAAGCCGCCACTGCCGCCGCCCAAGCTTTGCAGTCGGTGCGTGACCTCACAGCTGAAATTGTCCGGCGGAAAAAACTCCCACCGACACTTAGCTCAGCCGCTCAGGGGAAAGCTGGGAAGCTGGTTACCACAGCGGTTGCAGGGGGGGCAGCGGGTGGGAAAGGTGCCGCTGCTGCGGCTGGTAGTGGTGGTGTGGGAGGGGGAGCGGAGGAGGGCGTGTGGGAGACGCAAGGGGGAGGAGGCAAGGGAGGGAAGAAGGGCGGGAAGAAGGGGGGTGGAGACAAGGGCAAAGCAGCACCAGCAGCAGCAGGTGGGGCAGCAGCAGGGGCAGCTGCAGTGGAGGAGGCGAGGAAGAAGGTAGAAGAAGCAGCAGCGGAGAGTACCAAACTGAGGGGCCAGGTGGAGGCAGCAGAGGCAGAGGCATCTAGGCTGCGGGTGCTGTGGTTGGATGCAGAGGCGAGGCGGAAGCAGCTGGAGGAGGTGCTAGCTGCTGCCTCTGCTGCTGCTGCTGGCGGTGGTGGAAAGGTGAGTTCGAAGTTGACTTGTGTTTGTTGGAAGGAAAGGATGGTGAGTCAGAGGCAGAGGCATCGAGGCTGCGGGTGCTGTGGCTGGATGCAGAGGCAAGGCGGAAGCAGCTTGAGGAGGTGTTGGCTGCTGCCTCTGCTGCTGCTGCTGCTGCTGACGGTGCGAAGGTGAGTTCAGACTTGCCTTGTGTATGTCAGGGAGAAAGGGCAGGAGCAGCTATTCAACCCGAGCAGGAGTTCAGGTGAGTTCAGACTTGCCTTGTGTATGTCAGGGAGAAAGGCTGCAGAGGTAGAGGCAGAAGCAATGGGGCAGAGTCCGAAGTGACTTTTGAGTCGACTCAAAAGTCACCTAGAGGCAGAAGCAATGGGGCAGAGTCCGAAACTCGTGAGGACGAGTCGTTGAGGGTGCTGGATTGAATGTTCATCCCCGTCTCTCCTTCTCTCCCTTTGTCTCTCCCCTTCTCGCCTTCTCTCCCGTTCTCTCCCCTTCTCCCTTATTTGCTCTCCTTCTCCCTTCTCTCCCCTTCTTTTCCCTTTTCGCCTCTTCTCTCCAGTTCTTCCCTTCACTCCCATTGATTCCTTGTCTCTCCTCCTCTCCGTCCCTTCTCTCCTCTCCACTACTCTCCCCTAACCCCCTTCTCCCCCCATCCAGTCCCCTGCAGCTGCAGCAGCAGCAGCAGCAGCCCAGAACGGAGTCCCTGCACCAGCAGCAGCTAATCAACCCGAGCAGCAGCAGCAAGGGCAGGAGGGGCCGCAGCTGACGCCAGAGCAGCTGCACCAGCTGCGGTGTTCGCAGCAGCTGGGAGTGGTGCATGCTCTCGTCTCGAGTCCGTTCATGACTTCGTGCTATCTCCCCTTGCTTCTCCTCCCTTCCCTCCCTCCTACCCTCCCCTTTCCCCTGCCGTTTTCTCCCCTTCCCGCCCCTTTCCTTCCCTTTTCTCCCCTACCCTCTTGTCCCCCCCACCCAGTCCCCTGCAGCAGCAGCAGCCCAGAACGGGGTCCCGGCACCAGTAACGCCAGTAGCAGTGGCTCAACCCGAGCAGCAGCAGGGGCAGCAAGGGCAGGAGGGGCCACAGCTGACGCCAGAGCAGCTGCACCAGCTGCGGTGTGCGCAGCAGCTGGGGGTGGTGCATGCTCTCGAGTCTGTGCTGCAGCGACCCCACATGCCCCTGCCAGGGCACCCTGGAGGACCATTCTCGGTGAGTGAGAGTGCGAAGTGAGAGGGAATGGGATGCGCTGGTAAGGATGGCAAGGGGCGGGCAGCAGCAGCTGGGGGTGGTGCATGCTCTCGAGTCGAGTCCGTGCTGCAGCGCCCGCACATGCCCCTGCCAAGGCACGCTGGAGGTCCCTTCTCGGTGAGAAAAAGAGAAGGAAAGAAGGAGAGAGTGGATGAAGAGTGAGGAGGGCCTTGTGAGAGAAGAAGTGTTTTGAGACGTCTCAAAACACTTCTTCAAACACATGGTAGCAGGAGAGAGTGGATGAAGACGTCTCAAAACACTTCTTCAAACAGGAGAGAGTGGATGAAGACGTCTCAAAACACTTCTTCAAACAGGAGAGAGTGGATGAAGACGTCTCAAAACACTTCTTCAAACAGGAGAGAGTGGATGAAGACGTCTCAAAACACTTCTTCAAACAGGAGAGAGTGGATGAAGACGTCTCAAAACACTTCTTCAAACAGGAGAGAGTGGATGAAGACGTCTCAAAACACTTCTTCAAACAGGAGAGAGTGGATGAAGACGTCTCAAAACACTTCTTCAAACAGGAGAGAGTGGATGAAGACGTCTCAAAACACTTCTTCAAACAGGAGAGAGTGGATGAAGACGTCTCAAAACACTTCTTCAAACAGGAGAGAGTGGATGAAGACGTCTCAAAACACTTCTTCAAACAGGAGAGAGTGGATGAAGACGTCTCAAAACACTTCTTCAAACAGGAGAGAGTGGATGAAGAGTAAGGAGGGCCTTGTGAGAGCAAGAGAAACAGAGAAAGGAACGAAGGAGTGAAGGAGCAAAGGAGTGAAGGAACGAAGGAGTGAAGGAGCGAAGGAGTGAAGGAGCGAAGGAGTGAAGGAGCGAAGGAGAAAGTCCCACCCCCTATTTTCCAGCCTATCTCCCTACTCTCCCCCTTCCTGCCCACTCCTAGCCCCACCCCTCTCCCCCTTCCTGCCCGATCCTCCCCTCCTCCACTCCCTCTCTCCCACTCACAGGGCGCCCCCGATCGGGAGGCGGCAGTGATGGCGGTGGTGGGACAGGCAGTGGAGAATCATCTCAGTGCGCTCTCCGCCCTGCTGCACGCCAGCCAGATGTTGAGGTACCTCACAACTCAACTACTCCTCTCCCTTACCCACACACTCGCAGGGCGCCCCCGACCGCGAGGCGGCAGTGATGGCGGTGGTGGGGCAGGCAGTGGAGAATCATCTCAGTGCGCTCTCCGCCCTGCTGCACGCCAAGCTGGACCAGCTCAAATCGTAAGCCCCTTGTTTTCCCATAGGTGAAGCGACCCTTTTGGGTTCCACAGGAGACGTAGCGTTTCGGGTTCCACAGTTGATGTTCAAGTCATGGCTAGCTGAGGGGCAGGGGGCAGGCAGTGGAGAATCATCTCAGTGCGCTCTCCACTCAGCTGCATGCCAAGCTGGACCAGCTCAAATCGTAAGCCTTTTTGGTCGTTCTCGGTTTGGCCTTGGCCCTTGTGCCATTGTTCCTGCAGTTCTCCTAGAAGAAGCTGCAGAAGGTGAAGGGGGAGAAGGATGCTCTTTCTCTGCGTTCTCCCTCACACCCTGCCCCATCCTCCCCAACCCTCCCCCTCCCCCCCCCCTCCTACCCCCCCACACCATCAGAGCCGGAGAGCGACTGCAATTCTCACAGGAGAAGCTGCAGAAGATGAAGGCTGAGAAGGACGCTCTGAAGGGCAAGCCGCAGCTGGTGAGTCGTCTTGTGGGGGAATGGGGTGTCACGCTGCTGCTGGGTCATCATGGTTTTGCACCACTGCCTGTCATGCTGCTGGATAAGTTCTGTTTCACTTCCTTCCCTCTCCCATTTTCTCTCCCATTCTCCCATCTCCCTTGTTCGTTCCCCTTCCTCCCCTTTCCCATGTTCATTCCCCTTCCTCCCCTCTCCCATGTTCGTTCCTCTTCCACCCTCTCCCATGTTCGTTCCTCTTCCCTCCTCCCCGCTTTTGCTCTTTGGCAGGCCGCAGCTCTCACGAGGCCACTGCAAGCCATTGAGCAGATGCACAAGGTGCGGTGGTGCAGGGTGGTGCAGGGTGGTGCATGGTGGTGCATGGTGGGGCATGGTGGGGTACGGTGATGCATGGTGGTGCATGGTGGGGCATGGTGGGGCACAGTGATGTATGGTGGGGCATGGTGATGCAGGGTGGGGCATGGTGATGCATGGTGCAGGGTGGTACAGGGTGGTGCATGGTGGTGCATGGTGGTGCAGGGTGATTGTATGGCAGGGTAATTGCAGGGCAGGGTGATTTTCTGGGTGGTTGATCCGCCCACACAACCACCTGTGCTTCCTGTGCTCCTGTGCTCACCTGCCCACTTCTATGCTCTCCTGTCCTGCTTACCCCTTTCCCATCTTAATGTCAGACCTGAGTGAACGAAGTTCAGTCAGAGGCAGAGGCGCTAGAAGCAGCGCTGCAGAAGCCGCAGCTGCTGCCTTCCTGTGTTCACCTCCCCCCTTTATGCTCTCCTGTCCCTCTTACCCGGTACCATTGATCCCTCTCAACGTCAGACCCGAGTGAATGAAGTTCAGTCTGTGATGGCGGAGGCAGAGGCGCTGGAAGCAGCGCTGCAGAAGCCTAAGCTGTTGCACTCCCATGCCCACCTGCCCGTTCCTATGCGCTCCTTTCCCCCTTACCCCTCCAAAAACCAGACCCGAGTGAATGAGGTCCGGTCAGTGATGGCGGAGGCAGAGGCGCTAGAAGCAGCGCCGCAGAAGCCTCCGCTGCTGCATTCAAGTCCTCACATGCCCCCTTCTATGCCCTCCTGTCCCCCTTACCCCTTGCCCCCTACTCTCCGTAACATCAGACCCGTGTTTCTGAGGTCCAGTCAGTGATGGCGGAGGCAGAGGCGCTGGAAGCAGCGCTGCAGAAGCCGCAGCTGCGGTCGGCAGTGGCGCTGCTGCCGCCCATGCCATCAGTCAACGACTTCTTACAGCAGATAGGCGTCACGCTGCACCAGGTATGCATGTGGGCGAGTGGGTGCAGTGAAGCATAAGTGCCTTGTGTGCTGTTACAAGGACATGGCTGTGCACTCACCAGCAGTGGCGCTGCTGCCGCCCATGCCATCAGTCAATGACTTCCTGCAGCAGATAAGCATCACGCTGCACCAGGTGAGAATGAGATTACAGCGATCCTGCTGCTTCAGCCCCATTCTCCACTTTCTTTCCGTCTCAAACCTTTCCTTCCCTCCCCTCCCCTCTACCCCCTATCAGGTACACCAAGAGTATGCTGCCATCCAAGCAGGCGCCGCCAACTCTGCCGCTGCCTCTGCAGCTGCAGTTGCTACTGCTCTCATACTCCATACCCTCCTCCCTCAACTCAATCCTCCCTCCTTCCCCTCCCCGCTCCCCCCCATTCAGGTACACCAAGAGTATGCTGCCATCCAAGCAGGCGCGGCCAATCCAGCTGCTGCCTTGGCCGCTCCAGGCCGCATGCCTCACACACACCTTCTTTCCCTCTCAACTCAATCCTCCCCTCCCTCCCCTCCCTTCCCCGCCACCCCCTCTCAGGTGCACCAAGAGTATGCTGCCATTCAGGCAGGAGCCGCCAACTCTGCCGCTGCCGCCTCTGCCGCAGCTGCTGCTGCTGCTGCAGCAGCCGCTGTGCCTGCTGCCGCTCCAGGTGCCGCTGGGAAGAAACAGGAGCGGGGGGCAGGGAGGAAAGGAGGCGCTGGCCCCGCTGCTACTGCCCCTGCTGCTCCTGCTGCTCCTGCCGCCACCCCTGCCGCTGCCCCTGCTGCTGCGGCTGTACCTGCTGCTCCTGTGCCTGCTCCTGCGCCTGTTGCTGTCCCAGCAGCACCACCAGCGGCAGCACCAGCTGTGGAGGCAGCAGCAGCACCCAAGCCAGCATGGGGGGTGCAATCCGCTTGGGGGGGTTCGGGATTTGGTGGTGTGATTGGGATGATGGGGCTAACGGGATGAGCAAGAGGGTGGTAGGGCGAATGAGGGAACGGGAGGATGAGTAAGTGATAGGATAAGCGAGGCAATGAGAGGATTCTGGATTCAGAAACTTAAGCTAGAGTAGTGATAGGATTAGCGGCTGTTGTGTACATCATTCAGGCAGAGGGGGAACGACAGTAGAAGCACCTTACAGGGACGGGGAGAGGGAGGGAGGGAGGGTGTTGAAGAGTGGAGGTTTAAGGGGGAGAGAGGAGGCTAGGAGAAAGCACTAAGTGGGATTGTTGCCGAGTTTGGGAGAATGGGGAGTTGTGACTACTAAACCATGCTGGTGTTACATTTCTCTAGTGGGTGTGGAGTGTGGACTACAGTATATACTTTTGAACATTGTTATACAGTGGTAACAACACTTTCACATTGTGAGGTTCCGGTATGTGACATGCAACTCAATCCCCTTCGATATTTCGAATTGAAGGACGCGTCATTTGTTTGGTAGTGCCTACAGCATTGTGTTTGGTAATTAGCGCGTCAGTTCTCAGTGGTAACACCCATTTGAGTCGAAATGTGATTCTACAATGTTCTTACTAACCCTTTTCATAATAGCCCAAGGTACCCTGGGCACAGGGGGTAGCCTGCACTGTCACCCAGGATCCTATGCCCAAAAAATGATGCAGTACACTGTCGAGTCAACATTTGTTTCTTCCCAAAGGTTATAGGAATTTATCCATTCAGCATTCAGCTGACAACTATTGTCTCCGGATTTCCGTCTACAACATATATAGATTGGTTGATTAATAATGCACGACAGCTCTCAACGTATTTCCACAAGAAACCGACATTTCGATTGGTCTACTCTAGGAATGAAAAACGTATATTACCGTAACGTTCACCGTGTTACGTCCAATCACCACTAGCGGAGCGATTGGGTGGGTGGGGCGGTCGTGAAGAGGAACCCCCCGAATTACCGCCACCACCACCACTCTGCGACGCTGACACAAGCACGAACCCTGGGGTCTTTGTCAGGACAGGCGAGTCCCCTCCAGCCTCCCCTGCTTCAAGCTTCAGCCGCATTACCTCCTCCTCCAACCCCCCGCTTTGACTCCTCCTTACCGTCCGCATCACCCCAACTCGGCTCTGGGAGGTTGGTTGAAACGACCCTGTTCTGCGTAGGTACGGCTGCTGCTGCTTGGGCTCGTGTGCTGGTAGTGACTGGGAATACCCCATCACACCAGACCTAGGACCAGCAGCAGCAGCATCACCAGCGGCACCACCACCAGCAGCATCAGCAGCAGCACCAGCGGTAGTGGCGGCAGCAGCGCTGGTGGTGGGGGCTGCTAGAGTGGCGCTCCGAAACCGATCCCGGAAACTCATCCCGCTGCTGCTCCCATTTCCACCGCTCCCATTCCCACCCAACCGGCTCATACCTGCCGGCGCTACAGACGAAGTCCGCAACTCGGGACTCCTGGGCGGCCGCATGTCCCACCTCCCACCACCTGACTTCCCACTTGAAATCCCACCTGAACCTCCACCTCCACCCCCACCCCCGCCAGGGCTCGATACTCCCGAATCCGACACCATACTCCCACCCCGGAAATGCCTCCCGCCCTTCCCGCTGCTCCCACTCCTGCTCGACTCAAAGCTGCGAATACTCGCTGAAGATTCACTCCCTCCAGAAACTGAAACCGCGTCAAAGACAGTGTCTGGCATGAGGAGAGAGAAGGTGGGGTGGCGCAGGTGCTGCGGGCGAGGGTCTGAGGGCGCGTCTTGCAAGGGGAAGAGCTGGGGGTTGTTGAAAAGGTGATCTGCGTGAAGCACGTCTCGCAGGCGCGCTCGGATGTTAGAGGCAGCCCCTTCGAGCACTCGAGAGTAGCTTTCTAGAACTGCCTTGCCGATGTCCTGATGGCATGGTGGTGGGGGCAGGGAGAGCAGGGGGGAGATCACCAGGGAGAATGGAGGGAGGGAGAGAGCGGATGTCGAGGGGAAGGTGGGTTGGCGCAGGTGCTGAAGAGGGGGTCTGCTTTGCAGAGAGAGGCCAGGAAAGAGAGGCCAGGAAAGAGAGGCCAGGAAAGAGAGGCCAGGAAAGAGAGCTCAGGACAAAGAGCCTAACCGGACGTTGTTAGGCGGATTGGATCAGCACACTCACCCGGTTGAATGCGATTCTGGCAAGGTCCAAGGTGGTCTGGGTGAGTTCGGGCCACATACGGCGGATGGCAGCGAGGCACGCTGCCACTTCCTCCCTCCCACTGGCAAACCATGACCAGACACCCTACAGAAGGTATTCGTACCCGGTTGAAAGCGATTTTGGCGAGGTCCAGAGTGGTCTGGAGGGGAGGTCGGCCCACCACATGCGGCGAATGGCAGCGAGGCACGCATGATACCACTCCCCCCCCCCACTGCCGAATCATGACCAGACATTTTACACAAGGTATTCGTACCCGGTTGAATGCGATTTTGGCGAGGTCCAGAGTGGTTTGGGGGAGGTCGGGCCACATGCGGCGGATGGCAGCGAGACACGCTGCCACCCGCTCCAGATTCTCCTCCAACCGCATGATCTCGCGGCTGCTAGTGGACAAATAACTGCCGCCCAGCGTGTGCGTGAGATAGGGCTCCCTGAGTTGGCCGACAAGCAGGGTGGAATTGTGAAGGACGGAGGGTAAGGAGAGGGGCGAGAGGAGGGGGAGCGAAGGGAAGGGGGGCAAGGGGGGGAGATGGGGGAAGAGTTGACTTCTGTGTTGACCTGTGTTGTTCGTCATCCGGGGTGAAAATGTGAAGGATGGAGGGGAAGAAAGGGGGGGGGCCGGGGGGCGGGGAAGAGCGTTGGGTCTGAGCATCTCACAAGTAGGGCGTATTTACAGATAAGTATGTTATTTTTGGAACATGGGTTGGACAATGACTGCCATCCAATGGGAGCAACGGGACAAACTTTCGAAGCGCCCAAAAAAAATTGCCATTCAATGGAAGAAACGAGCAGAGACCGGATTGTTTGGGAAGAAAGTCAGGAAGAGGGCGCGAAGGGGGAAAGTGGGGAATTGGCGGGAGGATTGAGTTCAAGGGAAAGCAAGCGGGGTGTGTGGGGAGAAAGGGGAAGCTGCCACACACAATCCACCTCACTGAACCACTCTAAACCACGTTGTACCTGGCTGCCTGAAGCTGCCTGATGCAAATCTTCTGTGCTGCTTCCATCTTGCAAGCGAGCTTTAATGCCGCCTTACGAGCACAGCACCTCACACGACAGCACTGGAGCGCATCATACCACAATGCACCGCACTGAACCACACATACCTGGCTGTTTGAAGCTGCCTGATCCAGATTTGCTGTGCTGCTTCCATCTTGCATGCCAGTTTTAAAGCCGCCCTTTGATTGCTCAAATCAACTGCGCTGAGCACTTTATCCTCGTTATAAGGCGTTGAGAGTAGCACACTGTACACCCTGTCTCCCAGTATTGTCTTCAAGCTCTGTGTGGAAAGGAGAGGGAGAGACAGGAGGAGAGGGGAGATGGAGAGGAGAGAGGTGAGGGGAGATGGGGAAGGGAGAGGAGAGGGGAGATGGGGAGAGGAACGGAGAGGGGAGACAGGGAGGGGAAGGGGAGATTTGAAGGACGGTGGGGGTTGGGAAACAGAAGCTGGTTAATCCACGTAGAAAAACAGCAGTTTAATTGACACCGCCATGCCACAGTCTTGTCACTCCATACACGTCTGGAACGTCCATGTCCTGAAGAATCTTTTGAGGCGCCTCAAAAGACGTCCATGTCCTGAAGAATCTTTTGAGGCGCCTCAAAAGACGTCCATGTCCTGAAGAATCTTTTGAGGCGCCTCAAAAGACGTCCATGTCCTGAAGAATCTTTTGAGGCGCCTCAAAAGACGTCCATGTCCTGAAGAATCTTTTGAGGCGCCTCAAAAGACGTCCATGTCCTGAAGAATCTTGTGAGGCGCCTCAAAAGACGTCCATGTCCTGAAGAATCTTTTGAGGCGCCTCAAAAGACGTCCATGTCCTGAAGAATCTTTTGAGGCGCCTCAAAAGACGTCCATGTCCTGAAGAATCTTTTGAGGCGCCTCAAAAGACGTCCATGTCCTGAAGAATCTTTTGAGGCGCCTCAAAAGACGTCCATGTCCTGAAGAATCTTTTGAGGCGCCTCAAAAGACGTCCATGTCATGAAGAATCTTGTGAGGCGCCTCAAAAGACGTCCATGTCCTGAAGAATCTTGTGAGGCGCCTCAAAAGACGTCCATGTCCTGAAGAATCTTTTGAGGCGCCTCAAAAGACGTCCATGTCCTGAAGAATCTTTTGAGGCGCCTCAAAAGACGTCCATGTCCTGAAGAATCTTTTGAGGCGCCTCAAAAGACGTCCATGTCATGAAGAATCTTGTGAGGCGCCTCAAAAGACGTCCATGTCCTGAAGAATCTTGTGAGGCGCCTCAAAAGACGTCCATGTCCTGAAGAATCTTTTGAGGCGCCTCAAAAGACGTCCATGTCCTGAAGAATCTTTTGAGGCGCCTCAAAAGACGTCCATGTCCTGAAGAATCTTTTGAGGCGCCTCAAAAGACGTCCATGTCCTGAAGAATCTTGTGAGGCGCCTCAAAAGACGTCCATGTCCTGAAGAATCTTTTGAGGCGCCTCAAAAGACGTCCATGTCCTGAAGAATCTTTTGAGGCGCCTCAAAAGACGTCCATGTCCTGAAGAATCTTTTGAGGCGCCTCAAAAGACGTCCATGTCCTGAAGAATCTTTTGAGGCGCCTCAAAAGACGTCCATGTCCTGAAGAATCTTTTGAGGCGCCTCAAAAGACGTCCATGTCCTGAAGAATCTTGTGAGGCGCCTCAAAAGACGTCCATGTCCTGAAGAATCTTTTGAGGCGCCTCAAAAGACGTCCATGTCCTGAAGAATCTTTTGAGGCGCCTCAAAAGACGTCCATGTCCTGAAGAATCTTTTGAGGCGCCTCAAAAGACGTCCATGTCCTGAAGAATCTTTTGAGGCGCCTCAAAAGACGTCCATGTCCTGAAGAATCTTTTGAGGCGCCTCAAAAGACGTCCATGTCCTGAAGAATCTTGTGAGGCGCCTCAAAAGACGTCCATGTCCTGAAGAATCTTTTGAGGCGCCTCAAAAGACGTCCATGTCCTGAAGAATCTTGTGAGGCGCCTCAAAAGACGTCCATGTCCTGAAGAATCTTTTGAGGCGCCTCAAAAGACGTCCATGTCCTGAAGAATCTTTTGAGGCGCCTCAAAAGACGTCCATGTCCTGAAGAATCTTTTGAGGCGCCTCAAAAGACGTCCATGTCCTGAAGAATCTTTTGAGGCGCCTCAAAAGACGTCCATGTCCTGAAGAATCTTTTGAGGCGCCTCAAAAGACGTCCATGTCCTGAAGAATCTTTTGAGGCGCCTCAAAAGACGTCCATGTCCTGAAGAATCTTTTGAGGCGCCTCAAAAGACGTCCATGTCCTGAAGAATCTTTTGAGGCGCCTCAAAAGACGTCCATGTCCTGAAGAATCTTTTGAGGCGCCTCAAAAGACGTCCATGTCCTGAAGAATCTTTTGAGGCGCCTCAAAAGACGTCCATGTCCTGAAGAATCTTTTAAGGCGCCTCAAAAGACGTCCATGTCCTGAAGAATCTTGTGAGGCGCCTCAAAAGACGTCCATGTCCTGAAGAATCTTTTGAGGCGCCTCAAAAGACGTCCATGTCCTGAAGAATCTTTTGAGGCGCCTCAAAAGACGTCCATGTCCTGAAGAATCTTTTGAGGCGCCTCAAAAGACGTCCATGTCCTGAAGAATCTTTTGAGGCGCCTCAAAAGACGTCCATGTCCTGAAGAATCTTTTGAGGCGCCTCAAAAGACGTCCATGTCCTGAAGAATCTTTTGAGGCGCCTCAAAAGACGTCCATGTCCTGAAGAATCTTTTGAGGCGCCTCAAAAGACGTCCATGTCCTGAAGAATCTTTTAAGGCGCCTCAAAAGACGTCCATGTCCTGAAGAATCTTTTGAGGCGCCTCAAAAGACGTCCATGTCCTGAAGAATCTTTTGAGGCGCCTCAAAAGACGTCCATGTCCTGAAGAATCTTTTGAGGCGCCTCAAAAGACGTCCATGTCCTGAAGAATCTGCTGATTGATGAACATGCACGCCTTCATCATCTCACTCGTTTCCTCCGCCTGCTGCTCCCGCTACCTCCCCACGCTAACCACACGGTTTAGGGTGGTCCACACCTTCCCTCACCACCAACCTCTCTCCCCCCTCTCCCAAGCACATACCTTGGGCAGTCGTTGCAGGAATGCGTCTGGAACATCCATGTCCTGAAGAGTTGGCTGCTTGATGAACATGCACGCCTGCTGCTGCTGCTCCACCCACCTGCCCGTGCGTGCCCCACTTATGCTCCCACCATCTCACCCACACACATACCTTGGGAAGTCGTTGCAAGAAGGCATCTGGAACATCCATCTCCTGAAGAATCTGCTGGTTGACGAACATGCACGCCTTCATGATCCGACATGTCTTCTCCCCCCCGCTCTTCCTCCCTCCCCTCTTTTCAAGACATTTACCTTGGGCAATCGTTGCAGGAATGCGTCTGGAACGTCCATGTCCTGAAGAATCTGCTGGTTAACGTACATGCCCTTATCCCTCTTTCCCTTTCTCTGTCCCATTCACACACCCACCTTGGGCAATCGCTGCAAGAATGCATCTGGAACATCCATCTCCTGAAGAATCTGCTGGTTGATAAACATGCATGCTTTCATAATCTGACTTGTCTTCTCCGACTGCTGCTCCAGCCACCTCCTCAGATCCTCTGACAACCCCACTCTCATCCGTGGCTTCACTTTCCACCGCCATGGCACCCCCCCTCCTCCTCCTGCTCCTACTCCTGCTCCTCCTCCTGCTGCTCCCGCCCCTGCTCCTGCCACTGCCCCACTTGCTTCTGACCCACCGCCATCGCCACCACTGCTACCACCACCACCACCGCCGCCGCCGCCGCTGCTGCTGCTGCAGATGCAATCACCATCCGCTTTCCCTGCTGCCTCCTTCGACCTGCCCCTCACAAACGCCCCTAGATCGTAGCTGCGGCTGCCGATTCTTCCCGTCGTTCTCCTCCTAGCCAGCTCCTTCACACCACCACCATCACCACCACTACCAGCACCACTACCAGTAGCATTGCCGCTAGTACTGCTGTTATTATAGTTACCAGAAGTGGCAGTAATGGAGGTGACTGTAGAGGAGGAGGTGTACGAGCGGGAAAAGCCCCATGATGTGCTTATAGAGGGGCTGGATCCGCCTGAATTCATCCCTTCGTCTCCCCCCTTCTTCTGCTCCCTCTCCTGCCCCCCCTCCTTCTGCCCCTTCTCCTCCTGCTGTTCCGACCCTGATCCTGACCCTGATCCCGGCCCTGGTTGCGAACCTGATCCCGAACCAGATCCTGAGCCTGATTTCGAAACAGATCCCGAGCCTGATTTCGAACCTGATCCCGACCTCGGTAACGGGCAAGGCCCGGGAGCATTGGAGGCACCAGAATGAGCAGCAGTGGAACCTGGAGCATCACGGCTTGGATCAGTTTCCTTGCCATCACCACCATCAGCGGCAGCAGCAGCATCAGCATCAGCAGCACCAGCATCAGCAGCATCAGCATCACCAGCAGCAGCATCACCACCAGCAGCAGCAGCATCAGCATCACCAGCATCACCAGCAGCACCAGCAGCAGCATCACCAGCAGCAGCAGCAGCATCAGCGGCAGCATCAGCAGCAGCGTCAGTAGTGCCAGAAGGAACAGGAGCAGGAGTTGTAGCAGCAGCAGCGGGGGCAGCAGCAGCAACGGGAGCAGCAGCAGTAACAGCGGGAGCGGCAACAGCAGTAGCAGCAACTGGAGCAGCAGCTGTAGCAGCGGGAGCAGCGGCAACGGCAGGAACCAACCTGACAGCGGCAGCAGCAGCGGCAGCAGCAGTAGCATTGCCAACAGAAGCCGAGGTAGGCAGCCTGCCCCCTCGCACCTCTCTTCCCCCTCTCCCACCCATCCCAACCGCACTCACATCCTCTCTACACCTCAGCCTTGCCGCATACTCCTTATCCACCTCTGCAAAGTCCCCACTCTCTCGCCTCTCTGTGGGTGCTGAGATGCTCCTTCGAAACTGCTGCTCCAATGCTTGTTCATCTAATTCATGCCTCTCCGGCTCCTCCTGCTGCTGCCTTTCCTCCTGCTGCTCCTGATCCTCCCCGCTGTTGCTGCTCGGACTACCGCCACGCAACCCACTCAACCCACTCCCACCGCTCGCCCCACAATCTCCCCTGCTACTTCTCCCCCCTTCCCTTCCAGAAAAGGCTTCTTTGATGCTGCCCCCCTTGGTGACTTCGCTCCCTCCTCCTCCTGCTGCTGATCCTTTTTCCGAACCTACCCCCCTTTCTTCTGACCCTATCCCTCCTCTTTCTGAACCTACCCCTCCTTCCGACCCTCCTGTCACGTCAGCATTCAGATCGAAATCCCGATCCACAATATCCCCATCCATGTCATCATCATCAACGTCCACGTCATCCTCCTCCTCCTCCCTCTCCTCCTCCTCCTCCTCTTCCTCCTCCTCTTCATCTTCTTCTCTAGGCTCCTGCCCTCCCACAACCTCATCCTCATAATAATACTCATTTGACGTGCTCTGCTCTAGAATGATCTGGTAAAGGGGGATTAAGGGAAGTGTGGGGTGGGGATGAGTGGGGAGGGATGTTGGAGAGACGACCAACGAGGGATGGAGGGGAAGGAGTTGCTAAGATTGAGCTTTTCCCTCCCACTACCTGGTCCTCATAGTAATATACTTGAAGTGCTCTGCTCTAGCATGCTCTGGTGTGAGGGGGCTTGGGGGAGGGAACGGGAGAGAAACAGGGCTGTAGGGGAAGGAGTTGCTAAGATCGACCTTTCCTCTCCCACCCCTCGTCCCCCAATAGGAAAATCAATTGGAAGTGCTCTTCTCTAGCATGCCCTGGTGTGAGGGGGCTTGGGGGAGGGAAGGGGAGAGAAACAGGGCTGGAGGGGAAGGAGTTGCTAAGATTGACCTTTTTCCTACCTCCCACCACCTTGTCCTTATAGGAATAGGATAGAAATGTGCCAAAGGATCTCCAGGCAGAGAAGGGGGAGAGGGAGAGGGAGGTGGAAGAGAGTAAGGAGCATGCAGAGGAGAGGAAGAGAGGGATAGAGGAGTTAAAGTCAAAGCTGAAAGAGGCAAAACACAGGGCAGCTGATGCACGGGCTATAGTAATGGCCTGTTATATCGCCACTGAGGAGCATATTAGACTCCAGGCCATGTGCCGCACGGAACAGGAAGCGTCTGCTTGGTTCGGCCCTTCACCAGGTTCTCTATACAGAACACCATACCCTGCGAGAAGCAGGTAAGTGTGGTTTTGTTGCGCTGCTGGGGGTTTTGATTGTGGTTAGGATGGCGTTCTGACCTTCCCGCCGTCCTAACCACAATCAAAACTCCAAGCGGCGCAGCAAAACCACACTTACCAGCCTCTCGCAGAACTTGACGTTCTGTATAGAGAGCTGGTGAATGAACAAAACAAGCAGATGTTTCCCATTCCGTGTGGCACATGGCCTGGAGTCTGATATGCTCCTCAATGGCGATATCACGGGCCATTATTATAGCCCGTGCATCAACTGCCCTCTGTTCTGCCTCTTTCAGCTTTGACTTCAACTCCTCTATCTCTCTCTCCTCTCTCCTCTGCATGCTCCTTACTCTCTTCCACCTCCCTCTCACTCTCCCCTTTCTCTGTCTCGAGATCCTTTGGCACATTCCTATCCTCGAGGTTGATCTGCCTCAAAAATATCCCCCACACACATATTCCCCAAACGCACGCCCTGCCCATACACCACACACGCCTGCACCACGCACCTGCAGCAGGTGGTCTAGCTTGTTGAGCGCTGGGAGGTTGATCTGCCTCAGAGGTACCCCACACACACACAGTCCCCAATCACACGCCCTGCCTGCCCACACACCACACAGACATATACCCACGCACCTGCAGCAGATGGTCTAGCTTGTTGAGCGCTGGGAGGTTGATTCGAAGGTCCTCCCTCACTCTCCGCTTCATGACCTGTCATTTTCGAGCAGGGTCGGGTGAGGAAAGCAGAGGAGCGCAGAGGACAGCAGGGTGAGGGGCTCTGTCTGTGTCTGCAGTGTGCAGTGTTCTGCAAAAACCCCAATCGATCACCAGAGGGGCGGGTGAGGAAAGCAGAGGAAAGCAGAGTATAATAAAACTGCAAAAATGAGCATAAAACCTTTCGGATTCCACTGTCCACCATCCTCCCTCCTCTTTCCCATCAAACCCTAATTCCTGCTACCACCCCTGCTCTTTCCCTTCCCTCCACCCCTCCTCACCTCAAACCGCGTGCCATCAGGGGCGCGTCTGCCACCCAGGAGCCAGCTCCAAAATGTGTCGACACACCGACACCATGATGCCCATCTCCCTCCCGCTTCCCATCCCCACAGCTCTTTCCCGACCCTGATCCTGCCCCTGTCCCACCCACCGTACCTCAAACCGCGTGCCATCAGGGCGCGTCTGCCAGCCTGGCGCCAGCTCAACGATGTGTCGACACACCGACACCATGATGCCCATCTCCCGCCTCCACTTGTTCTTGTCCTCCTCCCTCAGGGGCCGCAGTCGCAAGCTGTCTCCAAACACGGACGCTGCAGCAATAGAAGAGAAAGACAGAGAGACCAAGGGTGTGCTTGAGTGGACCATGATGCCCACCTCCCTCCCGCCGCCACCTGTTCTTGTTCTCCTCTCTCGGGCCGCAGCCGCAGGCTGTCGCCAAACACGGACGCTGGGAATAAAGAGAGACAAAGTCAGACAAACCAGGGGTGCCTTTTCATACGCGCCCATATATACATCTCCCCCCCCCACTTGTTCTTGTCCTCGTCTCTCAACGGTCGCAAAGCAATCTCCAAACACGGATGCTGGAATGAGAGGGAGGAAGATAGAGCTGTTAGAGTCCAAAATCCACCAGAGATTGTGTAATCTACCTGAGACGCCACCTGCTAAATCTGGAACGGGCAAACCCACCTGAGAAAGCACCTGACGGACCTGAGACGCTGGTGATGGCGTTGGCAATAATAGGGCAGGCCCGCAGCTCTTAAAGCCACAGTCCACACCACATGAGATGAGACTGTGTACCATACCTGAAGTTGCACCTGACGCACCTGAGACGCTGGTGATGGCGTTAGCCATGGCGAGGGCGGGCCCGCAGCCCTTGGCGCCTCCCGAGGGGTCGTCCCCTAACAGCAGCTTCGAGAGGCGTTCCCTCATCAGCTCCAAGTCTGGTTGGGAGAGAGGGAGCGGGAGAGAGAGAGAGAGAGAGAGAGAGAGAGAGAGAGAGAGAGAGAGAGAGAGAGAGAGAGAGAGAGAGAGAGAGAGAGAGAGGGAGAGAGAGGGAGAGAGAGAGAGAGAGAGAGAGAGAGAGAGAGAGAGAGAGAGAGAGAGAGAGAGAGAGAGAGAGAGAGAGAGAGGGGTGTGAATAGGTGTGAAGGATAAAGAAGGGGGGTGTGGGCGCGGGAGAGGGACGAAAAAGGGAGCCAGGGGCGATGAAGCAGGGGCGAGGGTTGCGGGAAGCGAGGCGGGAGGAGGGGAGGAGGGAGGGGGGGAAAACGGGGGGGCATGCTGCAGGTTCCGGCGGTTCCCGAGAAGCGCGTCTTCAGATCCTTCCCACCAAATGCTCCCCTACATGCTTTAATTATCGTTACGGTTTATGCAGGGGAAAGGAGCGGTTGAGGAGAGGGGGCAGGGAGGAAAAGAGTGCGGAAGGAAGGGAGCGGGGGGGCGGAATTCTGAGTTCCTTTAACCGAATATTGGCCCTTCTCAATGGCCAGATGCGACAGGTTTTCTCGCAACTGCTTCGAGTATAGTAGGGTTTTTTTCAGGGGGAATGGGGTGGCCGGAAAGGGGAACCGGGGCGGGAGGAAGGGAGGTTGGTGTGTTGTTCAGCCGAAACGTGGTCTTATCTGAGATTGCGGAAACCCTAAGTTGGCGGATGACGAGAATGTGAGTAGGCGGAGGTCGAGGCGAGGTTTCGGACAGATGTAAGGAGCACTTGACGGACTCGACGAAACTGACGGAAACGGAAACCGTCGGCGACGAAGACACTTACCCTGACGGAGACTGGCGGCGACGACAAAAGCGCACACAAAATGACTCATTTTGTGTGCGTAGCCGCATTTTGAAAAACGTGTTCTTACCTTGACGGACCTTGACTGACCTTGACGGACCTCCCCCTCGTACCGTGGAGGTCGGTGGCAACATAACCTCCAATGGCGTAGAAGAAGAAGGTTCTCGCCATGTCATCACAGCTTGAGTCGATTCAAACGCCGAACCTTGACGGACCTCGACGGACCTTGACGGACCTCGACGGACATTGACGGGTCTTGACGGACTTTGACGAACCTTGAAGGACCTTTCCGTCTTACCATGACGGTCCTTGGGAATATAATCGTCGACGGCGAGATCGGGATCATCGTAGAACAGCGAGTTCTCGTCGCCTTCGTTCACCGACGTCAATGCTGATCCGGCCGCCGCCATTGGTCGGCGAAAGCCTTCGCGAGCAGTAACGAGATGTACTATCTAATCAGGGTAACCATCTGAAAGTGGTGTATATTAGATGAGCCCGTCTTCGAATGCACGTCGTAACTTAGCCTAGCACGGATTAAGGGTTGAATATTTACGTGAACGTCGACTCTTCAGGGATTGGACGTGAAGTCAACTCGCTTGTAAGAAATGATTTCTTCTAGGAGGTATTTCTAGTGACGTCATCAGAAAGCTGTGACAGCAGTCCATCGGAACTTCCGGGCAATGCTTCGAAGGATTAAAGCGAGGGTCCTGGAAGGGTCCACTTTCGCGACAATGGGGACACAACAGGTAACTACAATGGCAAATCAATTGCGAACGGGTTACCAGGTCAGTGTAGCTGACGAGGAACCCTTCAGAACATACTGAAAGCTGACGGTGACGCTATAGCTATTACGACGGTATATTCCCGACACGCTCCATTAGCCCACAAGAAATTCATTTGAGCTGCAAAAGTTCTGCCGGGCTGGTGACAACCAACGCTGGAGGTGCTGCTGGCGTGACGCGAATCGGCTTTCAGACTAGGGATGGTAGGTTGGTCGGCCGGAGCAAGGGGAAACGGCACGCGTGAGGAACCAGCAAGGCAGCAGCGCAAGTCAAGGATGTGAAGGGTGCAGCAGCTGCAGCAGGTGTTCGTGATTCAACAGAAGCTACTGACTAGACGAAAAACAAATGAGAGAATGTAAAAGAAACGGGGGACGGCACTGGCAGAGCCTAGACTTCAAGCCTCTTTGTCTCTTTCCTTATCTCCATATTTCCCATCCGCGATTGGCAGTTGGAAGCCATAGCCTCGGTTCTGTCTGGCTCCAGTCAGACCCAGAAGACGATTGCCTTGGGAGTTGGTGAGCTTCGCAATGGACATTCGTGAGATTCGCAAAACCGTCGCACACGATTGTTCAGTGTGTGCACTTCGCAACCCCGCCCCTCGGCACCTCGAGGGACACCCAGGCCTATCTGACAGAAGCTCGTTCTACTAAACTCGTCAGGGTTACTGTATTGTTGCCAGGAGTTCGTCGTCAGACAAAGTCGCAGCAGTTTAGCACCATCTTTTCGTAACTCGTCTACATTCGTCCACACAGATTGTCGTCATTTGTCGAGCATCACTTGGACTGTTGTCCCACAAGGTGAACGACGTTTAGCGAACATTCGGGAATAGAGCGAATAACGTGAAATGTAACTGGTTGCGCGTACGACAAAAGCGCTCAAGGTTTTCCAGCTGGCAATTCCGTCAGTAGTGGTGGTGGCAAGGTGAGCCCAACTGTTTTGACGAGCAGTTGACTTTCTTGGCACCCAGCGGAAGCCTGCCTGTCAGGGCTCTGGTGGGGGGAAGGTTCACTCAAGTCTGCATTCGTCTATTGAATAAGCCTTTGGAGTTAGAAATTTCAAAGCGTTCTTATAGAAACACAAGCATGGTATTCAGCACACTAGTAGGAATTGCATAACACCCACAACAGTAAGCAGCACAGGAGGGAAATGAAATGGCACATGACATGCACACAGCTGTAATACCCTGAAAAGGAAACTACGCAACAATGGAGTTGAAGGCATCGCGCATTTCCCTTGAAGACGGGCTGATAGCTTCATTCGCATAGCACTTGGCCACCACAGCCTCCAATTCTTCGTACCGCTCCATGAAGCTCTCCTGATCACACAAACGTTTCCCATAGACAAGAAACGAAGCAAGAGTTGAGAATTACAGCACTAGAATTGAGGAATTTAGGCAAAAATGCTCGACTCAGTTGCACGTTTCTTAACTCGACTCAGAAGTAATGTCGAGTATGTGATGTGCGAAGCGGAGGCACACACCGTTGCGTCTCTTTTGAACCACCCTTATTACACTACACTTGGAGCCAACTACTCAGCAAGACGTGCTGACCTGGCTTGTTCGAGTCGACTAAAAAAGCAAATGCACAGTTGCAGGGCGCCGCAACGAGCATACCATGCTTCCACTCAGACAGTGTTCTCACCTGACATTTGAGCCAGAGCGAGGGAAGCAGATCTCCTGACGTGAGATTTTTCCTCATCTTGTTGAACATCGAATTGAGCGATCGGTCCACCTGCAACCATTCGCGAAAAAAGAAAGGAAAAAGTAATGGAATAGTGTTAAGAAGAAATGCACGAAGGTGTTAAGAAGAGTCATTTAAAGCGCCAAGCATGTTGTTGAACATGGAGTTGAGCAATTGGTCCACCTGTGACTAGAAATTAAACTTTCGGGCAACCAAGCATGCTATCGCAGATTGTGGACTAGAGAGGCCACCGAAAACTCGACAGCTTTAATGCGGAGAATCAGCAGCAACAACAGTTCGTTACCCTACGGTCCTACACAATTCCAGCCAGCTTACCCCAGTGCGTTGCAATTGAAGTACTTTCCGCAGATCGGCTATGCTGGAGCCAATTTGGAACTCAATCGAGGTGAAGTTTGAATGGACTTACAATTTTATGGTTACATTCTCAGCTTACCCCTGTGAGTTGTGACTTGAGCACTTTCCGCAGGTCTGCTTTGCTGAAGCCGATTTGAAACGGAATCTGAGGCACACAAGAGGGCAAGGGGACAACGAGTGGCGTCTCAAAGCTGATTTGAAACGGAATCTGAGGCACACAAGAGGGCAAGGGGACAACGAGTGGCGTCTCAAAGCTGATTTGAAACGGAATCTGAGGCACACAAGAGGGCAAGGGGACAACGAGTGGCGTCTCAAAGCTGATTTGAAACGGAATCTGAGGCACACAAGAGGGCAAGGGGACAACGAGTGGCGTCTCAAAGCTGATTTAGGGTTTAGGGTACTAGAAGCACACACTAAAAGAATGAAACATGAGGGAGTCGCTTGCGTCAAAAGTGGGTGATGGTTTTGGGGTCTACTCAAAAGTCATCCCGATTCGGAATGGAAATTGAAGCAAGCTAGGGACGTGGCGACATGGAACGTAGTAGTATGGAACAGAAAGATTGGGAGCTGGAGAGGAAATTGGAGAGACGGAACCAGCGGTACATGGGGGTAGTCCAGAGATGAAATTAGAGTCATGCTTAGATGTTGTCGGTGACAGAGATGAAATTAGAGTCATGCTTAGAGGTTGCTCGAATACCTCCTCTGTTTCGATGGTCAGCAGCAGGTTCTTGATTTTCTGAAGGTACTCAAACAGCTTGTCGAAATTCTGCAATGATGAGTAATATAACAAGTATGGGTTGGGTCGGGGGGGGACGGGACAGTGCAGGGAGGGCGGGTCAACATAATCGGAACGGTCAGCAGCAGGTTCTTGATCTTCTGAAGATACTCAAACAGCTTGTCAAACTTCTGCAATGATGTGTTGGGTAGGGGGAATGCACAGAGTGTACGGGGGATCAAGGAAGTCGGAATGGTTAGCAGCAGGTTCTTGATCTTCTGAAGGTATTCGAACAGCTTGTCGAAATTCTGCAAAGGTAGAGTCACATGGATGTGTTGGGTAGGGGGAATGGACAGTGCCAGGCAAGGGAGTTCAAAGAGATTGAGATGGTCAGCGACAGGAATGGTATCTTCTGAAGGTAATCAAACAGCAAGAGTAGAATGTTTAAGGATGTGTTGGGAACGGGGACGGACAGTTGGGGGGGAATGACTGAAGCGAGTGCTCACTCCGAAGATGACTGAGTCTATGTAGCGCGTGCATGCTGCCTCGTACGTCTCACTTGAGTGGCAGCAGGGCCCCTCTCCTCCTACTTGTCACTCTCCGCAGAGAAAGAACGTTCACCCGGGAACTCACCCCGAAGATGGCTGAGTCGATGTAGCGCGTGCATGCCGTCTGTAGAGAGCCCTTCTCGCACACAGAGAGCCCACGCAGAGCCTTATGCAGGGGCACATACAGAGTCACACAGAGGGGCTCACAAGGCGAAAGAGCCCTCACCCCGAAGATGGCTGAGTCGATGTAGCGCGTGCATGCCGTCTGTAGAGAGCCCTTCTCGCACACAGAGAGCCCACGCAGAGCCTTATGCAGGGGCACATACAGAGTCACACAGAGGGGCTCACAAGGCGAAAGAGCCCTCACCCCGAAGATGACTGAGTCGATGTGGCGCGTGCATGCTGTCTCGTATGTCTCACTGGACTGCTGGTAGAAGAGGCACTCCGCTCCCTCCCCGTCACTCCCCTTCTTGTGAGCCCTTGTCGCACACAGATAGCCTTACGCAGAGGAACACAAGGGGAGAGAAGGCTCACCCCAAAGATGACTGAGTCGATGTAGCGAGTGCATGCCGTCTCGTACGTCTCACTGGACTGCTGGTAGAAGAGGCGCAGCGTGGGGATGGTCCCCGCCAGGTCGTATGTGCTGCAGAGCGAGGAAGGGTACGGGGATTGGGGAGAATGAGTGCGAGGTGAGCGGTTGCCATTCGAGCCAGCAGTCTCGTACGTCTCACTGGAATGGACTGCTGGTAGAAGAGGCGCAGCGTGGGGATGGTGCCCGCCAGGTCGTATGTGCTGTGGGGGTGGGGCATTGGGGAGGAGGGATGGGCCAGAGAGGGTGAGTGAGATGAGAGAGAGAAGGTGAAGAGATGAAGGACGGCCAGAGGAGTTGAAGGGTACGTCTAGTTTTGAGGCGCCTCAAAACTCGTACGTGCTGTGGGGGTGGGGGACTGGAGAGGACGGATGGGCCAGAGAGGGTGAGTGAGATGAGGGTGAGAGAAAAGGAGGTAAAGGGATGAAGGACGGCCAGAGCTACGTTGGCAGATACGCCCTTGGGGGGTGGGCGTATTGCGTATATACGCTAGCGTATGTACGCAATACGCTAATACGCCTGGAAATCCTAAAATACGCCCCAACCACACACCACCCCTCTCAACCTCCCAAACCCAACCTCCCCCCTTTCACTCGTTCGAACATCTCAATCCCTAAACAGCTCCTCTTTCATTCAATCCCGCATTTCTCATCTTGCATTTCGTCCGACTCGCGTCGAGCTCAAACTCTCCTAGCTTTAGTACTTCCTCGCCATGACGACCC